ACCTTCAAACTCTACGAGAAAACATAATTCAAAATCAACCAAATTTCGAATCCAAAACCATTCCATATGTATCAAGCTCATTATTATTTATATTATATTAGTTTTCATCCTTATCTTCTGGCTATTTAAAAGATGGAAAAAACTGAAAGAAAATCTAAGAGGGATAGAAGAAAGTTTCAACCTACAAGATTTCCGTCTTCCTCGTTAGCCCTAGGAACCTGGATCTTCAGGGGGAGGAGTTATATCACCCATACTAGAGAAGAATATATAGGAGATACGATTTTGCATAGTTAGCATTTTAGAATAATTTGTTCATATAGAAATAGTTTATTCAGTTAAAAGAAAGTTCCTAGTAAGTTCCTAATTAGCATTCAAACCATTAACATCCATATTTCCTCACTGATCTGTATTATTTTACTGGATAGGATATAGCCCCCTAAAAAAAGTTCCGAAAAATTGGCCGATTTGAGCAAATAATATGGCGGACCGGATGTTATTTAACATAACCTCTATTTCCATTTGTCATTAAATTGTGTCAACAAGCTACGATGAGATGTTTTTATTGTGGAAAACAAAGTAAAAAGAGTATGAAATAAACAATAAACGTTCATTCCTGAAGACACAATATGCTTCACGTTTCCATTTTTATATTTTCTTTCATAAAAAATCAAATCATGGGTGAAATTTCCCGAAGGAGATCGCCCGCAAAAGGAATAGAAGAAGAATAAGAAGAAAAACTAATCAAATTATAGGTTAGGTATGTCAAATTATCCCAAATTTCAGTTCTATGAACCCACCATAATTTGCCCAAATCGGCCAGCATTGTTGCACTTCCGGTCTCCTTGGTGGAACGATTTGTTAGTATGTTAAATATAGCCTATATCCTATCCAGTAAAATAATACAGATCAGTGTATTTCCTGTATTAAAGTAAAATAAAAGTTTTTAAAAAATCATTTTCGGTTCGAGATTTTTTTTGTGGGGTGTCGTAAAAAACGAGGTTTATAAAACTAGTCCATTAACTAGCGAGGAAATGAAAGAAAGGATAAGACAAGTGTTCGCGAGCATAGATGTATAATGTTTAAAGCTAGATTACAATATTGTATTGCAGTTGGAGGGAGTCCCTTTGAGCAACTTTTATAATAGCTTTTTTTTTCATTTTTTAATATACTAATGTTGCATTCTAAAAAAATTAAAATAACTTATTTTTGGCTCATATTTTTTTCATTCAAATACAAAATATCTTCTAAACTGTTGTGTTTAGGGATAGGGACAAACGAACGTATAATTAAAGTACTTTTAGTAGAGATATGAAATACAGGGTGAACCTAACCTTAAAAGTAAAGAAAGTAAATTCAGTTGATAATAAATTGTAGCTAGGTACCTTAAAAATATAAAATGATTAAACAGTATATTTTAAATCAAATTACATTGTGAATTTAGTTATAATTAACCCTTTTTACTTTCCTATCTGTATACAGATATAAGGAAAGTATAGGAATCATGATTTTTTTCGACCTCGAGTTTTTGACGGATTTTTAATATTTCATCTAAGAATCTCGCTAAACTGTTGTGTTTAGGGATAGGCAATATTTAACTCAAACGAACGTATAATTAGAGTACTTTTTAGCAATGATATGAAATACAGGGTGTTATATTTAAAAAAATTGAAAAAATCATGTATCTGAGTTTTGACTCACCCTGTACACGTCTGTTGCGCTAGGAAAAAATTAGTATATTCCTATAAAAGTAGACTATCATTAAAAATGATTCATCCAAAAATTTTGATGTTCGATTGTTTTTTTTGAAATATACAGAGGGTTAAACCTAGTACGATTTTCATATAAAATTGGTTTAAACTTCCAAAATACCCAGTATAACCTCATACATGTTGGTATTTTCTTGAAGAGCAAAGTCAAGGGAATTCAAATTTACAATTAAATACAGGGTGGTCCATTTAAAAACATAGGTTTGATCAATTCTGAAGGTATGGATCACTCTGTATAATCGAAAATAATTTTGAAATGGTGCAGATTAATATTATCTACAACTTTTGTAAATAATATTGTTTGATATTTTCTATAATATAGGATATATCGAACGTCCACACACTATTGGGATACCCTGTATATTACCATAATAGTTTTTTAAGTTGGCAACTTCAACGCCCTGTATATAAAAAATTACTCATACGATTGAGTTTGTGTCGACAATAATTGCAAAATACTTATCAAAAATTCAGAAAATATTAATTACAGCCCATCTAATCAAAAATTATTTAAAATATTAAAAATAGAAGTCGATAAAAAAATCATGATTCCTATTATACATTCCTTAGTATAACGTAGAAAGTAAAATAAAAAAAAAAAGAACATTTTTTACTGAAAAACCTCAAAAAAATCATATTAAAAAAAGGATATTTTTCGGTGTAGGGTGTAGAAAACCCTGTACATTACTAAATTTTTAACTTTTCTACTACAACAATGCAATTGGAATGTTATTATGAGTTTGTCACAGACTAATTTCAGAAGAATAAAATAATTGAATAGTCGGCCATAATAACTACGAGTAATACTTTGTGAAAAATGTAGAAAAACCCTTTTTAAACCGGTTTTTATCTATATTAATTATTTTTAGGTATCTATTTATCTACTTTATAACGAAGATAATATTAGCAAACGTTATTCCATGGAAACTGAAAAAAATAATGAAAAAATGGTTGTTACGGTAGACACTTTAATTTTTATTCAACGTTGCATCATATATTACCGCAAATCAATTAAATGTTAACACATTCAAAAATTCTTACCTTAAATCTTAGATAAAATTATTTTCTCATTTCCAACACAATATAAGATAAATTAGAATGTTTATTTTCAAGAAAATGTTCTTATAAAAATCACTGCAACACTATATAACTATTCATCTTGTTTACTGTCATTTACAAAGCATAGGTGACCTGATAAAAACAAAAATATTACAAAAACGCATGCAAAAAATGTATCTACAAAATAAGGCTAGTGCTACATTCTGCTGCACGCTGCAGATTTTGCGTTTTTATGCTTCTTCTTTTCGTAAGAATTATAGGAAAATAAATACTGTTTGCAATTGGTAACTTTTAAAGGTAAAGTTTATAAAGGATGTCCAATTTATTTTTAGGAATATTAAAATATATTGGAAATTTCTTGATGGCAAATAATTACACGTCAGAGAAAATATGATTGTCGAAATTATAATAGCAGCAATATCGGGGAGAAAAAGTAAACGGGAGTACCGTCAAAATTATTGATGTGTTAAATTACTTGATGTCCCCATAAAACGTGTCCATGGTCCCAATCCTATTTTATGACTAGATTTTGAGATACAGGGTATTGAAGTTAGAAAATATTTTTCTGAGTAGTTAAAATAGGTACATACTGAACTACTATAAACAAAATATTGTCACTTACAGGGTGATTCATGTTTCAGCAGATCTATTTCGTTTAAAGTACGTAAAATAGCTGAAATACCGAAAAAAATAAATACCACCGTCAAAGTTACCTCCATATTTTTGCGCTTTTAATAATATTGAACTGATTTGGGGCCAACTTAAATAGAGAATACGCCGAAAAAACGTAAATAAAAAAGGAAAGAAGAAGAAGCAGAAGAAGAAGGAACAAAAAAAGAGAAAGATAAACAAATGGGATTTAGTGGAAATGAATCTAACAAATTACCATTAAAAAAAGTTCGTTTCCTGATGTGTATATACAGGGTGTTTCTTTATAACGTGCTAAGGGGGTGATTCTTCGACCCATTTTATGAAAAAAACTTCATACGAACGTATGTCCTAAACTTTTAAAAAAAATTCAATTTTTTATTGTCATTTTCATACCACTTTAAATATTTTTATGCACGACCGGGCGATAAAGTCCAGATTACAAAATACATTTAACGGGCGTAAAGTACCCCTTTAACGCCCGCGGATTACTTTACCGCCCGCCGAACGGTAAAGTAAATTTCTTTCATAATAACCTGCCCGCAAATGGCGAAAAAGAGAATAGTTATTTATTAATAAACGATCATTAAAACGGTCTTACATAAAATTTTATACAGGGTATCCCATGAGTGCGTAATTGTTCAATATTTCAATTTGTGTTATAGACACGCAAAATAGTTTCAAATAACAGTTATATGGATTTGAAAAATACATATTTTAAAATTTTTTTGTATATACAGAGTTTGGGTTTTTGCCTAGTAAATGAAAATGTATGTTTTTTTTAATAGAACACCGTTTATTTTATTTTATTTTTAGAATGGTTTGGTAATACTGTATTCAACCCCTGACGATCCAAAGCAAAAATATAGAATCACTATATCGTCACTGCATAGAGATTGTTCAGCACATATGAGGTATCACTCCCACAACGATGATATAGCATTTTAATTTTATTAGCCGAAATGTTGTATAGAATAGTTGTAAAAATGTTTATGTAACAATTTTATAGTTATCATGAAACCTAGTTTATAATTTTGCTGTAAGAATATTGTAAAAACTAATTTATATAACAATTTAGTTTTAAAAGACAAAATAGTGGTTTCTGCAATTTTAGTACAACAAATTAGCATTCCAGAAACAGCAATATAATATAAATAATATATAATAGTCTTCTAAACTAATAAAATTATAAAGCTACTTTGTTAGTTGGGACGTAGCGACTGATAAGAGAGTGTTTTTTTGTCTATTTTTGGTGATTCATTCCTTAAAACTGTGCTCAATAAGGTGTAATATCTATTTAGACGAGTATACGAAATATACTTCAAAATTACATCAATAGGTTGAAAAGTGTCTCTTCCACAATTTCAGTAGACGAGTTACTATTCAAATCTGAAAATCTAAATGTTTCGCGAGAGCGTCTAATTTTAAACTACATTAATTGCTCCAATGCCCTAATGCTGCTTACCTGCTAGTTAATGCCCAAACAGGTTCACGCTCTATCAAGTTTAATTGTTGTGAAATTTGCAGATCACATGGACTACGTCCTGTTGGATTCAGTTAGCGGAGAGTTGAGGACAGCACGACCTATCGATAAGGAATCTATTGACAATCCCGAGGGAATACTGAAGTTTACTGTAAAGGTAATTTGATTAGTTCATTGATATAGGATTATTAATAATTAATGTCGTGTAACTTTAATTGATATCTAATAATATACATTTTCTAAAATAGGTAATGTAGATATAAATTCTTCTTTTTTTAAAAAAAAGCAGTTTGGATTTAGGGGAGGTCCGCCAACAGTGGCCACCCTTTTTTATAAATTGGCATAAGTTCTAAACTGAGCATATTTACCACCTCCAAATTAGCTTGTAGAGAGTGTCATTGATATAGAAATGCAAGTATTACCACTTTTACCCAAAAAGTTTTGTACAATTCAAGAACAAATTTTAAAGGTACAGTGGACAGACAACAACTTCTCCTAAAAATATTTTTTATTGGGTCAAAACATAAAACAGAAACATAGAATTCATGAAGAAGATCATAAATTCAGTCTAATATAGAATGTAAGTCAGGTCCGTGAAAAAGTGATGGTACCGTTGAACTCTTGCGGTGCCTCCAGTCGATACCGGAGTTGGTAATGACATCACGATATCTTCTGGTGGGACAGTTGACTGATCTGGGACATCAGGAAAAGAAAACTTTTTTTCTTGTCTTTTTCTTTAAACATGTTATCGATGTAACTTGGCCCACACAATATTTAACTTGTTTTTTTTTTGTAGCAAATTTTACTAAGATAAAGCTTCCAACCAAAATTTCACAATGGCAATTCTGATCTCTAGGTTCTTCAGTCCAATCAATATCGTCAGAGTCCCCGTAAGGTTCAAGTTTTCGGTATTAGATTCAGTATCGCTACTATCGTCCTTGGAGCTAATGTTTTTGTATTAAAGCTGAAAATGTTTCTTGTAGTGAAATTGCTTTTGTTTAAATTTTGTTTCCTGGATTCCTCGAAGTGCTCCTGCTCCTGGATTTCCTTCAATATCGGAGTGCTGGTCAATATTTCCGTAGTTTTTTTTTGTCTTTTTTGTCCCATTTTTTAAATCTGATTAGTTTTTGGGTATGGCCTTAAGGCTTCGGGACTAAAAACTTTTTGTGGTGGAGTTATCTCTTTTTGGTTTTGAAAATCTATGCAGCTTGGGCCCGCTTCTTCTAGTAGGCTATTTTGTTTTTGTGGTGTAACTTTGGCAGTGTCTTGGCTGGGATTAATTTCTTCTGGTTCATTAACTTCTTCGAGAGGTATGTCAGTAACTTGGGCGGCCAAAAAATCATCGTCAATGAAAATGTTTGAATTAAACGGGTAAATTCCCGTAACTCTGAAACCCGATCCACAATTATTTGTGGAAAATGCATTGCTATAGATCTGGCCTAGAATTTCAGCAATGTCATATATGCTTATGCGTTGACCAGGATGGTTCATCAACCACGAACGGCAGGCACTATTATAGTGCGATTTCAGCGGACCATAGACAGCTCTGTCCAGTGGCTGCAGTTTGTGGCTCGTATGAGGAAGCAAAGTAAGTAAAGTTATGTTATTTGCTCGAGCCATTTTTATTGCTGTGTAAGAAATGTGACTCATGTGGTTGTACATTATGAGAAAAACTGGCAACTCTTGTGTTTGTTGAGTATAGAATAAAAAATGCTGCAGCCACTGAACAAATATTAGCGACGTCATCCAACCCGAGGGTGATGCTACTCCTATGGTTCTATTTGGTGCACCTTTAATCATGTGATTCTTAAAGAATTTTCTCGGAAATATTAAAAGCGGCAGTATATAATTGCCATCAACATTTATTGCACCACACATTGTCACCAAGGTCCCTCTTTCACTGGACTCTATTTTACCAACTTGTCGTTGGCCTTTCATAGCAACCACTTTACCTGTCTCTTGTACTGTAGTCAGGGCCGTTTCGTCGACGTTATATATTTTATCAGACCTGAAGTGATGATTTTTAATGACTTTTTGCAAGTTATCAAAAAACTTCTGAACGACAACTTTATTAAAACCCATAGCAAGACCCAAGGATGTAGTTTCAGTTGTTCGAATAGAGAGAGGATATCTTTTGAGACAATTAGTCATTCAATATTTTCCTGCCATTTCATTTTTGAACCAAGAGGGAGGAATTCGCTTGCCATATTCTGCTGCCAATAAAAATGCGGACAAATTATTGAAGAGATGAATACTACTTCGTTTCATAATAGAGTAGATTGATGATTTTATGTTTCATTTTGATGTTTAATTATTGATTTACCTTCTTTTATACTTTATTTGAATTGGAACATAATTTTCAATAGGTTATGGGCCCAGATAGAAACCTTTGTTGCAGAAAATACACAATTTGATACAAAGAATTAGTTGATACCGAGTTATATAAAAGTATTTTTAGAAAGCATTGCTTCAAATTCAACTGATATAGCTGCTCGTTTTATTAATCTTGATGGAACAAAATACCATTCATGTAAAATATTTAAAAAGTAGTTTGGATTTAATTCAAATTATTGAAGACTATTAAATTTCATAACGGACTATATTGATGCTTTTATATTTCATTTTGATGATTGATTATTGATTTATCTTCTCCTGCACTTTAATTGGGTTAAAACAGAATTTTCAGTAGGTTATGGGCCCAACTAGCACATTTTTTTTAAAGAAGATACATAATTTAATACATGAAATTTACTCGTAAGAGGTTGAATTTTGGAGAGTATTATTATTATTAGAAGAAAAATATCTGAAAAATTTATTGATACAGAGTTAGCTAAAAGGATTCTTGGAAAACATGGCTTTAAATTTAATCGATATATCTGCTCTTATTATTAAATGTGATGGATCAAACTTCCAGTTATGGAAAAAATACTTTTGATTAGTTTTTGAAAAGCGAAAAGTTTTGGTAGGATTTGCAGACGCAAACTATACTGGAGATATAGAGACAAGAAAATGTAGGAGTAAATATATTTTAACAATTGATGGTACTCCTGTAAGTTTGCTTATCTCAAAGGCTAAGTATATTACTTTATTACATGATTGTAAGGAAACAGTTTTGAAAAACAGAATACTTTGAGGTATTTTAAACAAATACATCCTGTTAATTTAAATAATGTTTATTTATTACCAATAAATATTGGGACAAATAATTCATTTAGTTGAAAAAAACTCACTTTTACCAGTGTAATTATTACGAACCTGACTCATATATCTTTGTTCGTCAGCCATGACCTAATTTAGAAACGTTTTTTGTAAATCACCCTTTAATAAAACGTTGACATTCTAGCGCATCGAATCGCATTAAAAGTTAATTTTAGTTTATAAATTTATAGAGTTCGTATTTTAAAATTTAAATCGCCAAAGTGCTATTTAATATTTCATAAATTGAAGTTGCCATACATTTTTACATATATCGATTTCCTTATAGAATAAATATAAATTTAACCTGATAGTTGAGGATATTGACTACCAACGTAAAATGAATAAAAGGAAAATACATTTTTTGTTTCACTCTGAAGAAAGATTTGCTACATCTATTAATAATTATACTAGAAATTGAAATAAAAAATAAGTATGCAGCTTTCAGCTTTGGAGATCATTACATATTTTTAAGAAGGCTTAAAATACATAAGACCTATTAGTCTTGTCAAATTTAACAATAATATAATAGTACAATTTTTAAAACGAGTAGTAAACGATCGTTAATTAAAGATATTTTTTACGATAACGTTCCCATCAGACTTTTAATATATATTTTAAATAACCTAATCAACATTAATTTAAATAATAAACACCCATACCGACGACAATGGCTTTAAAACAGAATGAATCTAAATAGATGTTTGAAAATAACTGAACAACTTGATGAGGTAGCTGAAAACTACCATCAGCTTACAATAACACCAAAGAAATTACCCATTTGACAAAGTGAAAAAATTATATTGCTGAGATCAGAGAACTTGTTAGAGAAAAAAGAAGAGCAAAAAGAAGATGACAACAATCTAGAGACCCATCTGATAAATTCATTTTAAACAATAAAACTTAAAAACTAACAAAAATTCAAAAGCTTAAAGAAGAATCAACAAACTCATACCTATAGAACCTCTCACCAGATGAAGACATAGATTACTCTCTGTGGAAAGCCACAAGATTTCTACAGAGAATTGATAAGATTGCCAGGGGACTCTATTATTAACGAAAATTTACTATTGAAGATCTGGAGAAGGAGACTTCCAAAGTTTATAAATATATCTTTGACCGTATCTGGAAAGTCTACAACGAAAGATCTACAAGATATAGCTGATAAAATGTGGCGACATCCTTAGGCGACATCGTGGTCCTCTATAGTTTTGACTTACATGTTATTTTAGGTCGATTGAGTCATGACGACCGTTGAAAGGGTGACTGGGAAGAAAAAGGAACATCAGAGATAAATGAAATACTAAGAAGACATGCGTACATTTTATTTTGGAACCAAATGAATTTTTTTTATAATCCTCAGAAGTCTAATTCTAATTTTACAGTATTTCATACTATTTTTGAGAATAATCCTAATGACATACGCCTTGTACTGAGAGATATAATGTACTGTGTATTTATTTTAGTTTTAACTACCTTTTTTTATATGCAATTGAGTTTAAATATTGCTGTATATATTCAAAAAAAGGATTTCATAAATTTTACAGATAATAACAATTTAAGTGAGAAAAAACGATTGCTATAAAAATATTTTATAACTAATATTTGGTCATTAAATGCCACATGTACCTATGCATGATTGAATTTTCAAAAGACAGCAAACATTATTGATACGATGACAAAGTCTAAAAAGAATAAAATTAAAAAATACAATCAATGCTCGATCATATTTCATTGAAAGACTATATATTAATTTTACTGTTATTATTTTTAAGGCTTACGAACTGATAAATGGCATCAAAGAAAACGATCCTTTGACGATGACTGCAGCCCAGATTACGGTAAAAATTTTAGACGTCAACGACGAACCTCCAAAATTTAATAAAAGAGAGTATTCCGTGGAAATTCCTGAAAATATTGAAGTTGGATCGGCATTACCTGGACTTGATATGACCGTCAGTGATCCAGATGAGGTAAGCAATGAAATAAATATATACAATGTGTTACAAAATGGACGTTATTGAAATTCTCTTCGTTATAGGGAAACAATGCTGCATTTTCTTTGGAACTGAACGACATATCAGAAGTTTTTTCAATCGAACCCAAAACAGCCATCGGTTCAACACCGGTTACAATTCGAGTAGCCAATAGTTCTTTAGATTACGAAGATTTCAACCAAAGAAAGTTCATAATACTAGTACTAGCAAAAGAATTATATACGGAAGAGAAGCTTTCATCGACTGCTACCGTAACCGTAACAGTAGCCGATGTTAACGATAATGCACCAAATTTCGATCAAGAAAGCTATTTCGCAACGATATCTGAAATGGCTACACCCGGAACATTGGTTACTACTATAACAGCTAGTGATAGAGACAGCGGGAAATTTGGAGAAAACGGTATTATTTATGCTTTGACTGGAAATGGGGCCAGTAAGTTTATTGTTAATAATAGGACAGGAGCAATCACTGTTGGAAACTGCAATGAAACTGGGAAGCCGTCTTGTTTGGATTATGAAACTAAGCCAGAGTACCAGTTACAGTTTTTGGTAAGAACTCATAATTATGTTAATCTTACTCTTTACATTCTTTACATGTTTTTATTCCAAACAACAATTTAGATTATTATAATTTAGTAATTAAAACTATCATCACTTCTGTTAACAATTTTTTTATTACTATTTTTAGGCTATCGATGATGATGGTAAAGGTCGAACCTCAGCAGTTCCTCTAAACGTACATTTAACAGATAGCAACGATAACGCTCCCATTTTCAACCAGCCTTTCTACAGAGCTTTCATCAATGAAGGATCTGTTAAATTTCAACCAGAATTAATCGTAGAAGCAACAGATGCCGATAAAACTTCACGCGTGAGATACTCTATTATTTCTGGTAACGATGATGGATTATTTAACATTATTCCTTCGACTGGAGTAATTAGAATAAATAATAATAGAGGACTGGACATTAGTAATGAAACGGACAATGTTATTTCTCTTGTTGTAATGGTAATGTATTTATAATGTGTAGGTAATGTTATTTAGTAAGATAATTTAACTTTTGTAGGCAAGCGACGGGCAATTTACAACTACAGCTGTTGTTAACGTTACAGTGCTTGATATTAATAATAATGCACCGATGTTTACCAAGCAACATTATTTGGATACAGTTGAAGAAGATTTGCCAGTAGGTAAGTGACTAAAAATATATTTTTATCATTTATATTATATAAAACAAGTTTTGAGAAAAAAATACTATAAAGCACCATTCTTTATTTATTTAAAAACTATATAAAGTAAAATAAAATAACTAATTTAATTAATAAAACTAAAATAAGTTTTTACAAGCAACGAATACAATTTAGAAAATCAAAATACGAAACAGTTATGGAACATTCAACAAGAAATTACACACGCAAACTCTAAAATAAAAAATATTGATCTCATAGAAAACGATGAAAAACTAACGAATTCAACACAAAATTTATAAGTATGGGTTACAACCATTCAAAAGTTTATGTCTTTCTATTGATCTGAGCAAAGCATTTGACACTGTTGATCATTGTTTTTTTTTTATTAAGAACTGTAGAAAAAATGGCATAAGAGAAAATTATGTAAAAATTACCCAAAAAAAAGAAAATTAGGTTAAGTGGACAATGATCGTCAGTATCATATAAAATAAAAGGCACTGCTTTGAGGCCTATCATTTTTAATCTATATGATTTATTTTCAACAGTACTGTAGACAATATTGGATATGTTGATGATACCGCAATTTGTTATGAGAAGGAAACTTAGATTGAGCTTAAAACAAAGTTCAGTTGGATTTTCGTTTTATAAAGAACTGCTTCTATGAAAAGATATTAACAGTAATCCTAGAGGAGACAAATATTTTTTGCCTTTTATTTGCAACATTGCCAGCTTGAGCTGAAAAACAAAGTTCAGTTGTATTTTCGTCTCATCAAAAGTTCTAGACAGCAACCTACACCCATTAAATTTTGTTATAAATATGCTATAAATCTGTTATAAATTTGTTATAAATTTATTATAAATTTATTATAAATTTATTATAAATTTATTATAAATTTGTTATAAATTTTGTTATAAATTTGTTATAAATCTGTGACAAAGTTGTTATAAATTTATTATAAATGTATATTATACATTTGTTATAAATTTTTTATAAATTTGTTATAGATTTTTTATTCTTTTATAACTCTTTTATAAATTTTTATTTTTTATAATTTTTTATATTTTTTTATAATTTTTATAATTTTTTTATAATTTTTTATAATTTTTTTATAATTATTTTACAAATTCTTAATAAATTCTTAACAAATTCCAAATAAATTCTTATTAAATTCTTAATAAATTCTTAATAAATTCTTAATAAATTCTTAATAAATTCTTAATAAATTCTTAATAAATTCTTAATAAATTCTTAATAAATTCTTAATAAATTCTTAATAAATTCTTAATAAATTCTTAATAAATTCTTAATAAATTCTTAATAAATTCTTAATAAATTCTTAATAAATTCTTAATAAATTCTTAATAAATTCTTAATAAATTCTTAATAAATTCTTAATAAATTCTTAACAAATTCTTAATAAATTCTTAATAAATTCTTAATAAATTCTTAATAAATTCTTAATAAATTCTTAATAAATTCTTAATAAATTCTTAATAAATTCTTAATAAATTCTTAATAAATTCTTAATAAATTCTTAATAAATTCTTAATAAATTCTTAATAAATTCTTAATAAATTCTTAATAAATTCTTAATAAATTCTTAATAAATTCTTAATAAATTCTTAATAAATTCTTAATAAATTCTTAATAAATTCTTAATAAATTCTTAATAAATTCTTAATAAATTCTTAATAAATTCTTAATAAATTCTTAATAAATTCTTAATAAATTCTTAATAAATTCTTAATAAATTCTTAATAAATTCTTAATAAATTCTTTTTAAATTATTTTCTTTATAAATTCTTTATCAGTTCAATTCTTTAAATTCGTTTTAAATTATTCGTTATAAATTCGTTATAAATTCGTTATAAATTCGTTATAAATTCGTTATAAATTCGTTATAAATTCGTTATAAATTCGTTATAAATTCGTTATAAATTCGTTATAAATTCGTTATAAATTCGTTATAAATTCGTTATAAATTCGTTATAAATTCGTTATAAATTCGTTATAAATTCGTTATAAATTCGTTATAAATTCGTTATAAATTCGTTATAAATTCGTTATAAATTCGTTATAAATTCGTTATAAATTCGTTATAAATTCGTTATAAATTCGTTATAAATTCGTTATAAATTCGTTATAAATTCGTTATAAATTCCTTATAAATTCCTTATAAATTCCTTATAAATTCCTTATAAATTCCTTATAAATTCCTTAACAATTCCTTATAAATTCCTTATAAATTCCTTAAAAATTCCTTATAAATTCCCTATAAATTCCTTATAAATTCCTTATAAATTCCTTATAAATTCCTTATAAATTCCTTATAAGCTCCTTATAAATTCCCTATAAATTCCTTCTAAATTCGTTATAAATTCCTTCTAAATTCGTTATAAATTTCTTAAAAATTCGTTATAAATTCATGTATTTCTATTTTTTATGTGTGAATTAAGGTATATTATTATTACTATTATTTAGGTACTTCTATACTAAAAGTAGAGGCAACTGACGCCGATAACGGAGAAAATGCAGTCATAGAATATTTCATAATAAGAGGAGCATATGATGATTTTAAAATTGATAACACTACTGGTGTACTCTATGTCGCACAGAAATTGGATTACGACAGAAGGAATACTTATAATATCGAAGTAGTAGCTGTAGATCATGGTGAACCAAGTTTAACTGGCACTTCAAACGTAACAGTTACTGTCATTAATATTAATGATAAAATGCCATATTTCGTTCCTGCCACTCAAAAAGTTGAGGTAAGATTTAAAATTTGATTATTATTTTATGGTTATTATATAAGTACAATAAAAGAACTTTACATAAAATAAATCAATATTTTCACTTAAGTTAATAAAATTGATAATTTTATTGTAGTATTTAAAATTCACTAGATTAAATAGGATAGAGTGCATGGTATGAGAGTATTTGAATAAAAAAGAAATAGTGATGGTTAGACGTAAATATCTCTGTTCGTTTACACTTTCACTATTTCCCTATTTTTAGGTATTGGAAGACGTCCCTGTTGGTACAGTAATATATACTTTAGTGGCTTTAGATCCAGACGTTAACTCTTCAGAAGCGCTAAATTTCGCTGCAACCGAACCAATTACAGCTCTAGACAAACACGGTATTGAAGTATATGACGATAAGTTCAAAGAATTTTTTTCAATCGATCAAAATTCTGGAAAAGTAACCGTTGCCAATCCTCTCATACGCGATATAGCATCGGTTGTTAGAATAACAATATTGGTTACTGATATCACAGCTCCAACAGTACAACAAGGAGAGGGTTTATTGATTATAACTATAGGAGATGTTAATGATTCTCCACCTGTCTTTATTCCTCCATGGACTGTAGAAAATCCTGTCTACCACTTAGAGTTGAAAGAAGAGCAACCAGTTGGAACAATAGTTGCTACTTATAACGCAATCGATGAAGACTCAGATATAGCGGGTTATATTATTCATCCAAAATCGGAATATTTTGAAATTAATAATGGTACAGGGATAGTGCAAATTAAAAAGAAGATAGATTACGAAAAAATTAAAGCTCTGAACTTTACAATTATCGCTTTTGACAGTGGTTTTCCTCAATTAAACACTAGCGCAAATATTTTAGTGACAATTATTAACGTTAACGATAACAGTCCAGTCTTTACAGAAAAAGAATACAAAGCCAACATTGACGAAAATTCTTCAAAGGGATCGTTCATAATATCAGTTAAAGCTGTCGATAAAGATGCAGAAAAGTACGGTGAAGTTAGTTATTACTTAACCGGTGAACACAGCGAACATTTTGCTATTGACGATAAAACTGGATACATAACAGTAGCTAATTCAAATTTCTTTGATCACGAAACTATTAACCAAACCGTAATACAAGTTGTAGCTCAAGATGGAGCTCCTATCAATACCAGAAGGTCTGTTTCTGTACCTGTTTATATTTCGATAAATGATGTTAATGATAATTCTCCGATATTTTCTCAAAAAGAATATAATATTACTGTTATGGAGAATGTACGGTTGAATCCTCCATTGCCTTTGATACAGGTAAATGCTACTGATGAAGATTCTGGAGTTAATGGAAATATTCATTACAGTATTGTTTCTGGAAATGATAATGGTGAGTATGTTTTTATTATATATATATTTTTTCTTTTACCTATTTTCACATGTGGTCCTAATGAAGTGTAGAAATTTATTGGGTAATTTTTGGTGTTCCACACAGTCGTTAATATATTTTTCAACTTGTTGCTGTTTTCGTGGAGAATTATTGAAATCTCGGATAATTAATAACCATTAGAACCACAGAGCACGTATCCTCTAGAGACCCCACGCCAATGTCAGAGTTTAAAACCAAATTAGCGCTACCTTGTTTTTGGAGCAGGAACTAAAGTTACAATTGACAGATGGTGGTACTATGAAGCCTAGAGATAAGGACACGAATCGGCATACTTAAAATACCGTCCCAAAAACGCATGCTAATTGAGATTCTCTAATGGGCGCTGGTACTGCATACGTTGTTTAAAATACATGGCTTCTTATACATAATTTTGTCAAAATAATAAAAATAAACTTGTTTACAGCTAAATAAAGCACAGAACATACTGTTGTATTTATTTCTTAATAAGTCTTGCATGTTTTCATTGATAAATTATTTAATTTTATCTATATAAAATAGAAATTAGGTATGTATGACCAAATTCGAAAAGGTTTCTTAATTGCTGAAATTTGATAAGTGTAATTTTGTGGCAAATTTTTTTTTGAATCGAACCAATATATATAGTTTTAAGAGTAAAATAAAACACAGTTAATAGATTTTTTATTGTTGTAATACAAGTATAAAGGGAGATTTGGGAATGTACATGGTATTACCTTTTCCTTTATTTTCAGCTTTCCTCTTTTTATTTTGCTAACAGTACCAGCAGTAAAAATAGTCTCATAATATTTGATAATATCTTTTAAAAAGTATAGAACAGCATCATCTCTAGAAAGTGCTTTATCGGCACTAGGAACGATATGTATATGCTGCCAATGTTCTAAACGTTTAGTATCCTATAAAAAACATTTCCAATGACAAAATTGGGGTCAAAAAAAAAATAACAGTAGTAACTCTTTATCTAACATTAAAACTCTATAAAAAATAAATTTTCTCTTTTAGTAAGTTAAATTTAATACATAATTATTGTTGTTTGTCAGTCAGCATTTATAACTGTAAAATTTCATATTATAGAAACTTATAAATAAATATTATATTTAGACATAAATACATTATTTTACTTACATTAAAAGCTTAAAAAAAGACGTTGAATTGATTTCTTCTTGTGTTCTTTAGTTTTACATTTGATTTTTATCCTGTTTTACAATCTGACACGACGTAAATCTTGCTTTGATGTTTTTTGTCACTCATGTTACTTGTACTCAGGTACTTTTTTTCACATTATTTTGATTCTTTTCATCAATTTTTTAAAAAATCACTTTATTTTACAGTGACGGAAATTTGAAATTTAACCATTGCCGATTCGCCTCCTTCTCTCTAGTCTTCATAGTTTTAATAAATGAAATAAAATTTGTTTGACACAAACATGTTTCAGATTTAAGATTTATCGAAAATATCGATATATTGGAACTAAACATCGATGTTTTAACATTCATTTCGATATTTTTCACATCGATATTTTTAAATTTCTATGTTTTATACATACATCAAGAGGACCCGTAGGTTATGAATGTTGAGAGCTGAGAAAGACATGCCCTCATTTTGACACGTCGCTATCGCCACCTTCCAGTTCCAAATTCCAATGTCAATGCTGATCCAAAAGAAAAGATAAGATCAAATTATTAAAAAAAAACATATTTCGATATTTTTTGACCGATATTTTCGATATATCGATGTTTCAATTTCGATATATCGATTTTTAATATATCGATGCTTTTCATATATCATCTTATTGGGCAATAAAGCTTTATGTATTTATTTTTTATTTACCCCTTACAACTTGCTTTCTATTTCACCGTATTTCACTCAAAGTCGTCGAACCGAAAACAGCAACAACGGCCAAACTCTACACCGATTGTTTTATAGGGGTCATTAATTTTTCCAGACGTTTTTCTTCTGGGCATCGAGACCGGCATTTTGTACCCGCACAAGTCCCTGCTGGGCCAAACAAGGAATTTCCATTTGAAAGTGGAGGCCCGAGACGGAGCTGGTAATGGCCAATTGTTCGACGAAGCCACAATTAATGTGCATGTCTTAAATGTTAACGAGCACCAACCCGACTTTATTATGCCCGCCCTACCCAACGCTACGGTCGAAGTACTCGAGGTAAGAATGAAAAAGAATTGGGGTGTAGGGGGATGCGAGACGAGGGTGCGAACTCAGGTTTTCGGTCTATTAAAGGTCAGTAAAATTACGTGAGGGAATTTAGTTGATTGGGCGTAATTATTCAAAACTGTGTAGGTGGGTAGTCATTAAAAGTCTTTCCAGTTTAGAGGTTTTAAAACATTATTTATTGGTTTCTTTTTGGAACCTTTGAATTTTGATAATAACTAAAAGTTGCATAAAACAAATGGAAAACCGATTAAAAATATATACAATAAATAATCTATTAAGTTTCTTTATTTTAATTCTGCTTACATCTTCTGCACATTCTAATTTTAAATTCATTTTCATTGGTGTATAAAAATTTTTAGAATTCTTAATATTGTATTTTTCAGTTAAACTCTATATAATTTTGTTGACTTAAAAACTTAGAGTTTTTTTCTGCAAAGTATTCAATTTATTGTTTTATTTGACTTAAGTCTTTCGTTTTAAATCTTTAACTCAAAGAAAATTTAATTTTTTGAATAGACACTTTATCCCTGAAGTTTCGTGTAGCTTTTTATCATTCCCAGAATACCAGAATTACTGGCTCTGCAGTCGTTGCATTGGATTGTCAGGTGTTCATCTAATTTGTTCTATTACCAGATTACACATTTACTTACTGTAAAGTTTATATAACTAGGGATTTAGGTTTATTTATATAATGAATATTGTTATACTTTAATTGTAGTTTAATGTTGAATTAACATGTGTTTCTATCGCTTGCGCAGAAGGGTCTACTCAAGTGTGACATTTGACATACCGCCGGAACTGTATTAGTGACAAGGGACATTTCAGCGGTAAATTCAAATGTCTATGTAACACTTACCATATAAAACAATGTCTCTTTTTATTAATAACTTTTATATTTTTAGAACGCTGCAACCGTAGATTACCTAGTAATGACAGTCAAAGCTGTAGACAAAGACGAACATGAAAACGGAAGAGTAACTTACCATTTCAAACTCGAAGATGAAAATGTTCAAGAAACCAGTGAATTCTCAATTGATCCCAATACAGGAGAGCTTAGAACTAGAAAAATGTTAGACAGAGAATTCCAACCTAAATATCAAGTAAGTAATATAAACAAACATCTCTTTATATTTAACATACAGTATTGGCCATCGAATGTTTTCCAATATCCCCCGACAGAAGTGCGAATGAAAGCTACAGAAGGGAAAAGGAATGGTGTCAACGTTGGCATTACGTGTGTCTTTTTATCCAACTGTTGCAGCAATGGCATCGGTGTGGTATCTACTAATGTATCAATGATGAACTAACAGCGCTATCTTTTTATCCAACGTTGCTGCAATCGATGCAACACTATAGGTTAATTTGTAAATTAATTAACCTATAGTGGGCGATATCTTTCCTGATGCCCGTGAGCCAATCAAGAAACCATATCAATATGTACATTGAAATAAAATTATAAACAAAAATTTTAATCCAAATTTCAACTGGTATTTATTTCAACGGTCAACCATAAATAAACCGAATCCAACAAACCGATGAAAAAAAAAGACACGTGGTTCCTTTCCTGCTTTCCCCAGTAGCTCACACGCACCTGTGCCAAGGCATATCGGAAGATGTTCGATGGCCAATATTGTGATTCATTTATTTTTACCATGTTGTCCATTTTTATATTGATCCAAGTCTCTCTCAGTCCATTTATTGCAAGAAATATAAAATTTGTTCCAATGGTAAACTCGTAAAATTGTTTAAGTAACATTTTAGGTCGTTTAATATTTTCTTGGAAAGTTTAAATTGACTTTCAAAAAGTAAATGCAATTAACGAAGTTGCTTTACAACCGAAGCAGAGATTTTTAATTACTCTCTGAACGTTTTGCCGATTTGAAACAACTGTTGAAAATTGTTTCAATTTTACTAAAAGACATAAAAAGTAGAATGTTATGTTTTTGTTGATGTACAGGTGCAGTATAGCTTGCGTGTAGAAGCTATTGTTTATGTTTTTAATTTAAATTAGAGCCAGATACTTTTTAAATTACCTCTAAGATTCTTGAGTGTGCATAAGAAAATTTTATTGCCTCAAAATATAAAAGAACACGTCCCGAAAAATCCGAAAATTTATTTCTAAGTAGTGAGTAGAATGGGGGACACTTTAAAACAGATCCAATCTGTCAACCGTATTGCCAACCTAAATATCATTTTGTGAAAAGTCATCTAACCTAACGCTGAAGAAGCCTCTGGAGACTCAAAGAACTAGATGATGTCCTAGTGGGAGGAGCGAAGCCTCTGGAAACGAAGAAGATGGCGATTATCGTTTATGTAAACGAGTATAGATTAACGTTGAAGAGAAAAATCACGCGTAGTACCAATGCCAAAAGTACCAAAGCCTATATCTTCATTGCTATTGGTCAGATTCAAACGGAAAAAACATGGATTTAAATTAACGCTGAAGAGAAAAATCGAGTAGGGGAAATTCATCGTCTTTGTCTTCGCAACAATGAAAATCTTTAATAAAAATACTCTTCGATCATTGTCGTACGTCATCCTTAGTCTTCGTCGTTGGATATTAATAGCAAAGTGAATATTAAAAATAAAATACTACTCGTTCGTTGTTTGTTGATAGGTTTGATCGATTTTTGACATCTGTCAACATGTAAGGAGGGCCAACTTCAGAGCTATTGCCGCGCAAGCGTATTTTGAAAAGTGTTCCAGTGTCCCCTTCCCCATTCTACTGTAATGCCTTCAAATTATTTTAAAATATTTTGAAAAATACTTTTCAATTGTCCAAATTTTGAGATATCTCAATATTTATTTGTATATACTATTTTGTTGAGCTCTTAGAAAAAAATTTGCCCACTATAGTGCATTATGGTGACATTGAATAACGATGGTGTATGATGAGTTGCTGAATGACACATTGTGCATTGAGACGTAAGGATATCAACGTTTGTATCCTCATCAGAGATCCTCACCAAGTGTGCGCGGCTTAAAATAGCTGGAAAAAAGTGGAGAGGATGCCTTAAAGTGACAACCCTTCCTTCTACGTTTAACGAAAATAGTTCAATGTCGCAAACCGCTTATTCATAGCTCATTCATATATATAATTATTATAAGAGAAATAAAAATGGTTCTTCAGGGACCAATAGAAAATTTAAATTTCCATTTAATGTTTTAAATTTTTTTCAGCTTGTGTTAGTAGCAAGGGATCACGGTTCGCCCAAATTTTACGAAACCATACGCTACCTAACAGTTCTTCTTGTGGATGAAAACGACAATAGACCAGAATTTCCAGGATCCAAATCAACTAACCCCTATCATTTCTTCGTTTCGGAAAACAATGATAAAAATATGCTAATTGGTAAATTTACTCTTTTAACAAACACCCAGTAATTATTATTTAAATGAACCTTTTACAGGTCAAGTTCAAGCATTAGATCGCGATGAAGGCAACCATGCAAAAGTGTATTACTACATAATTTCCGGTAATGAAGATTCTGCTTTCTACCTCGACAGATCTGGGGGAGGAATCTACTCCAATAAATCATTTGACAGAGAAGAAAAAGATGAATATGACTTACTTATAATCGCTACCAATGATCCAAACTTTATAGCTTCACCAGATAATTCAGAAATCGATGAAAATGACAGAAGCGTAGCTCAAGTTAAAGTTAGTATCAACGATTTAAATGACAATGCTCCAATATTCGAACAAAGCGTTTATTATTCTGCTGTGAACGCGATGGCGAATATCAACGATTTCGTCGTTAATGTGACAGCCGTGGATCCAGATTTGGGCGCCAATGGGTCTGTTACTTATTATATAAAAGCCACGAATTTATACAAGTTTAATTCAAATAGAAGTTCGGGATCGATCATACCATCGCCGTTTAATATATCAGAAAAAGGGGAGATTTTCACTGCTACCTATTTGGCTGAAAACAATCAACATAGGTTTGCGATTGACGTGATTGCTAGAGAAAATGCTTATCCAGAAAGACAGGCTGTTACTACGATTTGTGTAAGTATCTGTTTATTGTTTGTATTTATTTATCAAAGGGAAATATCTATAGGTTCGGTTATAGATAATTTTTCTTCTTCTACAATAGCACAATTGTTCATAAAAATTGCATGGTCTGAAATCCAAAATGCAACCATCTGATATCAAATTGAATCAGTCGTATATGAGGTCTGTCAAAAATAAAACTTTACTTTTAAGAAAAATCATATTTATTAACGCATCTTCTATACCGCTCAAAAAAATATATGGTGGTTGTATTTTATGTTTAAGACCTTGCAGAACTTTTTATAAAAATAACTTTTTTATAAAATTAATTATAAAAATGTTTCGCATATGATGCAAGCTTAATTGGATACACTGTATATTTTCATATTTCTTATTGGCTCCAATATAGCGTTCATGGTTTTCTATTAATTAATTCCCACATAGAAACCGATGGTGTAATAGACAATACTTTTGAAGAGAAAGTCTCAATCTGCGAAACTTACCTTGAAGCCATATTTAGAACCCCTGACAACCCTTACTTTGGTGACCACTTCCAAAAACTCATCGTCCGACAGGCATTTGCTACTACTATGTCCCCCATGGATGTAAAAAGCCCTCTCCCGACCCTTTTACTTATCAAGACTTCCAATATGCCTGTCAATCAGGTCAAATCACAGCCTCAGACCCTTATTTCATTAACAGAACAATGCTGAAAACCTTCTTGAAACCATTTTTCAATTCCATGCCTTCTCTCAAACGCCTGCCTTTCCCTATTCTGTTTTCCACTTGTCTGGAAATCCGAAATTACAATTTTAATTTCAAAACCAGAAAAGGATCAACCCAAATGAGTTTTCTAGATCCCCAAATCTATAGATTATGTCCTTGTTCTTTCATATATGTACTAAATAAACTCCTAGATTGGTGTATTCTAGATTACTTCATTCCTAGATATATTCCTAGATTCCTAGATACCTAGATTCCTTGAACTTTTGATCAAGGAGCAAATTTGGATATTTCAATCCGTACATGGTTTAAAACTGCATCACTTCACTCAAGACGCCTTTACTTCGCTCCACACCACTACTGCCCTATCAGTGAATTCCAATCAAATATCAGCAGTTCAAAAATATTTTGATCAAGTCTGAAAAGCCAGACTAATTAAGAATCTTATGAAAATAGATCTATTCACTACCACCAAACTCATTTATTCCTACCTCACAGACAGATCCAATATGGTCAACATGGACAACGCCCTGTCTGATCCATTTATTTGGAGTGAGGGTAGCCATATGTGAGTAGTAGGGATTAAGTGTAAAGGTGAAAGAAAAGGTCCTTTATTTCTCACAAGTCAATTTAATTGGCGACCGGTTTCGAAGTTGTCACTTCATCATCATTAGTCAAGGTGTGCCTGATGATGAAGTGACAACTTCGAAACCGGTCGCCAATTAAATTGACTTGTGAGAAATAAAGGACCTTTTCTTTAACCTTTACACTTGATCCATTCATCCCTCAAGTAGGGGTATGACAGAGCTAAATCTTTGCCCTTTTCTCTTATATGTCATATACACCCACGGTTTTCCTTCCCCAAACCACCCATCGTCACAATGTCTTCTATACGCTGATGATACTGCTCTGCTCTCAGTAGCCCAAAATTTTGACCAACTAGGAATCCGAACCCAAAATTTGCTGAAATAGTATTCTCGCTGGTGTGGCAGATGGAGGATCTTACTCAATCCTAAAAAAAAAAAGTATCATCTTCAAACACTCTAACTACCGAAAACTCCTTGACCTAAACATTGATATTCTGGGAGTCAGGCTTTTAAAATAGACTGAAGTTGACTATCAGGGAGTAAGATTTAGTCATAAACTCAACTGGTCCTCCGATGTCCAACACATCCTGATGTGTCGGCGAGCTGGACTCCTAGAAGCTCTATGTGGTCGTTTTGGCAGCAGCAACCTAGAAACACTTATCATTACCTATAAAGCATACATTTGTCCCCTTGCTGAGTACAGAGCAGTACTATATTACTATATTAACGTGATGTCTATATCTATCTTTTCGTTTTGTTAGGAGACAAGGTCTTCTAACACACCAACAAAATTCGCGTCTACAGCCATTTTTAACTGTTTAGAGAACAATACGTCTTTAAAACTCAGAATGGCTTCAATATATTCTTTTAACACACCCTATAAACCTCTTAGCTTCCAAAACACTTTTCGGAAAACCCAATTTATTTTTGGACTTTTCTCACGACGCCTAATCATTAAACCTGTAACTTTTTAAAATTATCGTCAGGCTATTTATCACATAGAAAATAAAAAAACCCAAACAAGGTAGATATAATGGCAGCATCATAGGGTTTTCGACAATCCAAACTATTACAGAGCCATCTAATGACTGAAAAACTAAAGAAACTTTAGGATCTTATCAGATAACTGAAGTGTCAGTTGTTGACTTCTTGTTAAAGAGTAATGGAACACATAGCCCAGATGGAAATGGAACTATTTAGGGATACTAAATCCTGAACCTATAGAAATCTCAAAACAAATACATACCTAATTTCACTAATAATATTATCCTAAAACTTTAGTACTCTGAACTACAGCACATCATGATATTGGTGTAGATAAATATCCATGTTTTTACCAATTTTTTTTTATTCTCTCAAGGTATGGATATTTGAACCAGAACAGCTAATACGAGTAATTTTATCAAGACCTAAGGAAGAAGTAATTAAAGAAAAAGATGAAATATTAGCGGAATTAAAGAATGCTACTCAAAGTTTGGTTATAATCGACAAAATCAGGTATCATATCGATGATAATGGAATTAAAAACGAAGAATGGTAAGATTTTTATACATAGTAAAGTAACAGCTTCATTTTTATCCATCCATCCTGTTTTTTTTATTGTTAAGCGAGATCTTTTTCTGTTTTATATCCGTATTTCTTTGTAGGTAGGTATTTTTTTTTCTTTTGAAATTATTTTCCTTGCATTACAAATCCTCTTTTTAAAACATAAAAAACATCTAGCACATACCAAACTTTTGTAGAACCTTTTCTTCTCTGCTGGATGTGCTCGATTACAATTGGTCCATTTTGGAGTTATACTTGCCGGCTTATTACACTGATTGCATGTTACAAAAATTTTTAGTATGCATATATCTTTGGCATCGTTTGCAATGGGTAATCAATTTTGAGCTTCTCACTAGCTAAATTTGGATTATTAGGTTTTGTAATATATAATTTCGTAAATTCTTTAAACGTTTTCACCGTTTTCAAGTGTTACATGAATAGTGGCGATGGTTTTTTTTATAGCAGTTCTTATGACTTGATTTTCTGTTTCTTTTTCTTTAGTTTCTTTCCGTTGGATATTAACCACATCCAAGATTTTAAATCCAGTTTGCTTTAATTCTTTAGCTATATCTTCTGGCTTGCAGGTAGGGTGTATGTTTCCAACCATCACTTTTATTGGTCTGGTTTATTTCATCTGATATGAATATCATTGATAGTCTTGGTTCGAAAGATCTGTTGTCATTGTTAATTTGATTTCATCGTTATTTAATAAGGTAACTACAAAATTGTGTAGTTTACCTATTAGTTTTTGTCTTAACTCTTCAAAGTTTTTGACCTGAGTTACTATTATTGGTGATGGTAATTTTTGTTAACCGTTTTCATTTGGGTTTTTTAGGTTTGCTTTCTTTTTGTACGTTATATTGTTCTTTGGTTGTGTTTTAAAGTGACATTTCAGGAGATTTTCGCATTATTCGTTATTTGCTATTTCCTCTGCTTCTTTGTAATATCCAAGCTGTTTCTTTATTGACTGTTTCTTCTTTTGAGTCTGTTTCGATATGCTGTTGTGTGTTAATTTATTCTAAATATTTTGAACAGTGACTTATTTACTTTTTTGTTTGCAAAATTGTGAAACAATCCATCTAAAGTTTAATATTCTATCGAAGGTATACTATTCATTATCCTTCAAAATATAACTGAACCATAATCGTGGTAAGATTTGTATCTCTAATAAAACAGTTGTCTTTCTTTTCCTTGATTTATGTAATGTTTCTTGCTGCCTTTATAGTTTATCATTGATATATATTGAATCCAGATTGTATGTTTATAATCTGACTAAACACGTTATATTACTTACAGGTCAGATCTCTACATACTCGTTGTGAATCCAAAATCGCAATCAATCCTACCGGTACCAGAAGTTCTCAAGATAATCGATTCAAAATACGATTTCCTGAAGGACTATTACGCAGGTTTTGCTATAGAAAACGTTTTACCTGCTTTTGTAACAGAAAAGGCTGAAACTTTTGATGCATCGCTCGTGGCATTAATAGCACTTTTAGTGGTACTGATAGTCGGCATCATCACATTTGTAGTTGTGTGCTGTTGTTTAAGACACTGGGTGCTGTCGCCTACTGATTTAAAGAAGAAGGATGCTTTGATTAAAAAAGCGATCATTGATGATTTAAATACGACAGAGAATCCTCTTTGGATAGAACAGTAAGAAAAAAATCTAATTTTTACCAAGAACGTTTTTTTTTTTAATTTGATTCGTTTTAGAAAACTGAAAATTTATGAAGAACAAGAACTGACGATGCAAGTATTCAACGAACCAGATCAAAATCTAGCGAATCGACGAAACAGTGATGATTATATTAACGTAAGTACATGAAACTGACAATAAATTCGCAAAAAAATCAATTTTGCTTCTGTTTTAGGAAGATAATGCTTATGCGACAATACAGCATCCAAATAGGAGATCATCATCGCATCTAACATCGATGTCAATAGGAGATGATTTGGCTGATTACGCTACGCTTTCTGTTCAGCATAATAATAGGAATGAGAGCAATAATAGTTCGTTAAGAGGTGGATCTAACGTAAGTAATTTAATTATATTAATAAATAATAGTTATTTGGTTATATCGGTCACAAATTTTATGTACTAAGCACTGCATGTTGTAACAGTCTAATATTTAATTTATTCACTTAAAACAGGTAACCACCGTCATCCCACGATTTTTTGCAATTTCATCAATTTCATATTTTTTGAATTTCTCTTTATGAAGGGAACAAAAATGATACAGTTCTTTTCTCACAGAACCGGGATGGAACTTAATATTCTTTGAATTTAGCCAATTCTGTAAATCTTTTTTTAACCACTTGGTTGTGGGCATCTTTTCTATAAATCTCGAGTGATAACTTGAATTATCCATTACTATTATACAGTTCCGAGGAAGAAGATCTATAATTTGTTCGAACCACTCTTTAAAGACATCAGCATTCATGTCCTCATGGTAGTCACCGGTACGAGTAGATTCAAAAGTCAATAAACCACCTTTAACAAAACCGTTTGAGCTACCGATGTGTACTATTATTAGTCTGCGCCCCTTTCCTGATGGTGGATTTAAACCAGTAGATAAATTATTTAAAAAAGCCTGTCTTCGACTTGTAACAGTTTCATCTTGCCAAAATTTATTTGGTTTATGTCCCTCGTTGATCCATGTTTCATCGAAATAAAATATATTTCTTCTTTGGTTTCTCATTTCTTTTATAGTCCTTAGGTAATTTCTTCTCCATACTACAATATCGCTTCTTTATATTAAAATAGACTTTCTAGAATGCTTTTTCCATAGAAAACCTATTTCTTTTAAAAGTTTCCATAGTGTGCTTCGACTTATTTCAGGGTAATCCTTATCATCTCGAACCGTGGCAAGAACTTTGTCTACTGTCGGAAATTCTTTTCTAAAGAAGAACGCATGCACTTTCCTTCGAAGTCTTTCTTTCAAAAGATTTTCTAATTGAAATTTTGGTTTTCCTGGAGCTTTACGTGCTGTTTGAAATTTGCCACATTTATCTTCTTTAACAACTCTGTAAATCGTAAATTTCCCAACACCAAGCGTACTACTAACTAATTCCACTGTGTCATCAACACTTTTACATAAATGCTTGTCTGTAAATGATTTAAAACAATTAAATATTAATGTTTTTTCATTAACTGTTAAAGGACCGATTTTTTGTCATTTACGCGGCCCTTCCAAATTTTCCATGATCACACTAGAATTCACACTGCACCTTGCAAGTTGTAACTAAACGACATTTAGTAAACTGTCAAGAATACACAACTTGGACCTCTTTACTAAATGGAAAACCTATAATCGCATTTTCGGTGAAATTTGTTGGGAAGGTATTTATCTACTTATAATTCGATTACTGTAAGAAATTCTTGGAATTAAATAAAACAAAATTGGCAAATAGGTACTTATTGAAAATAATCTTAAGATACGGCTATGTAATCTTTAATACACAGGGCTTTTGGCCTGTCCAAACCTTTTTCTATTGTTCTGTACAGCTTATGTTTATAAAGGACCAATAAAAGACCCAAAACTTGTAATAGCTCAGGTACATTTATTACAATTTTAGGAAATATTTAGATTATTCTGTAAAAATATTTAAAATGACCGTACTAAGTTTTGCATTAGAATTGCTGTTTTATTACTCTCTCATACATAAAAATAGACTTTTTATAACTAAGTATACTTGTATACTAAAAGAGTATTTTTTGTTTATGTTTTATGATTCACTTTTTAAAATTGTGGCTCGATAAAGGTACAATAATGGTACTACAATATGTGTAATATCTATTTGGATGAGTCTACGAAATATAATTAGAAATATACTCGATTACATCTTTATTTTTCCTGTTTTAGTACTACGAAGCAGCGATGGGTTTTCAAGGATCGACATTCCAGGTGCCGGATCGACTTAACAGCGACTACACACCCTATGGCGTCAAATATGACGGTTCTGAACTCACTATCAGTAAGGACCATCAACCGGAATACGTTGCTGAACTGATTTAATTTGATAACTTACTCAGTGGCGGCTCGTGATTTTTTTTAAGTGAGGAAACAAATTGAAATAAATATATTTAGTTAATAAAGGTATTTTTAGATAGATTATTCTAATTATTATATTTTTTTTTAGACAGTATTAATAAGTAATCTATCTAAAAATCTATAAAATTTTAAATTATAATTTAGAATATCTGTTTTATGTATATTTATACATGTAGTTAATGTTTAGTATTTTTTAAGCAACGATGTATAATAAAAAATTCTCTCAGGGCACAGAAAAAATCTGAGTAATTTTGGGGTGTATTAACTGATAAAAACTTAAAATTCAGAATAGGATATTTATTTACACTAATAAATTGTGTCTATATATTTGACGTGCCACATGAACAAATTGTTTTGAGAGTACTTTTTTATTCATAGACATTTATTCATTGTTTTGTCTAGAATTTATTGAGTTTACAAATTTGTAAACAACGAAAAAAAAAGGAAGAAAATATGATCGAGAGGTGTAATCTTAAAAAAATATTTATACTAAGAGGTTGAGCTACGAGCTGCAACTGTATTAAAGTGTGATGGAAAGTGGTTTATGTAAAAGAATGACTTGTTTTTGAAGCAACCTTTATTTGGGATAAATTATATAAAATTTAAATATAAAGTGATAAAATTTAAAGAAAGATTTGGTCTGTCACACCTTCTATACTGATTTGAATATATAGAAGTTCTTAAAGAAATAATTGTAGAAATAATGTGATCAACACATGAATTATAAATTATTAAAACTACCGGTTCGAGTTGTATACAAAGACTGACTTTATTTCATTACTAATAGATGCCAATAGATGGCACCACCAGTAGGATAGGTAAGTTTTGGTATATCTTCTAACATAAATTTTTCTCAAATGTATTATTACATTTCTATGCAATTTACTAACTACACATAACAAAATATATTACTTCGCAATTTCCATTCTTTTTACTCCTTCAATAAATTTAAAAATAATTTACAGGGATGGTTAAAAGCTAAATGGTTACTTATATCTAAAAGCATTTGGCAAATATTCCTTTTAGTAGCAAATTTTTCAAAGTTTTCTTGAAATATTTGTTCTATTTTACAAATTAATTCCACAAATTTATTATTAGGCATTTGCAAATTTCCGAAGGTGTCCTTATTTGCATTTTCATATGCCTTATGGAAACAGTAATAAGATGAATCATCTAGTTCATCATGGTCTTTACTATATTTATTGCATATATCACAAGTGTGAACTCTTAAAGCTTTATTTAAAAGGTATCCACACACGTACCGTATGAAATTTTTTTGCAGCATTTCATTATTTGAATAGTCCATGCTATTTAGTGCGTCTCTTTGTTCCGATACTTTATCCTTATCCTCAGGTACAAAATCCTGTTGGCAGTCAGAAAGTCTTAAGAGCATCTGATCAGAATCAGCCTCACAGTTTTCTGTACCTGAGTTAAGCAAGTTGACGCATTGCAACTTTCTAAATGTTCTATGGAACTGTATGGCTGTGGGGTTAATGCAGTTACCGTTTTCATTTCTTATTTTACTTAGCGAAAACACTAATGTGACTTGTACAGTCATTCCCTATCAACTTATTTACTGAATAGAATACGTAAAGTAATGGTACCTAAACAAATCTCATTCGAATTTTATGATAGTAAAAAAAAATGTTTTTTTTTATCCCATAAGGGTTGATTCAAAATTCCTTCGACTTGACCATCACTCTTGCCAACATTATGACAATATTAATTAAAAAAAAAGTGATGCTCTAGTTGATTATTATACTTAAAATTATTTATTAATAGCAAAATGTAGACAGCAGGCTGGAAACTCAGTATGACTATTTGAATTATCGAATTTATTTATTGTTTTATTTTTTTTTATTAGGTAGTTTGAACGGCCATATCATATATAAACTTTGATGATTTTATTTTGTATTTTTTTATCATAGACTTATACTGTACACATGTTTGTAAATACGAAATAAAGTATGTTTATGTATAGGTTCTTGTTTATTGTTATACGTTTAACTATATGTATAATCATTTAAAAACCTTACAGTGAATTGAACAAGGTATGTACTGTAAGAGGTTTTTTAGCCCTAGAGAAAAATTATTCTTACTTGTGATATCCAATAAACCCTTCGATGTAGCTTACGAAACGATTCGGTAGCTTTTAGATGGCGATACAAGAAATTCCAGGAGTCAAGGTTTCAGAATATAGTAAGGAATTTTAGGAAGCATAAAGAAATTAAATAGGGTCGATACATGGATAAATAAAGGGTATTAAAAGCAAAGGAAGTAAAAGTAATAAATATATTGTTTACTAAAGCTATTTACAATTGAAGGGGTCAATGAAAAGGATTCAAATGACAAATTTATGTATTTTGAGTTAGGTGTATGTAACTTAAATACCTTCCTTTCCACCACGACGCTAGGTGCTTCGACGCAAGGCGACGCTCAACGCTGCGACGTACCTAAATCGACACCGTCACAACGCTAGATGAAATTAGTACATAATCTAATATCTGTATTTTCAATGGAGAGTCAAAATATTTATGTAACTTGCTTTGAGATACCACCGGGGTTTCGTTTAAACGTAAAATATACCACATGGCCTTCAGGTCATACACCCCGAAAGACAGTTAGGATAAACATCTGTATCGATGCGTGAATTTTTGAGTATTTCAATAGAAATTATAAAAATCAATATTAAAAAATATACAGGGTTGTATTAAATAATTTCAATAGAAATTATAATAATCAATACTAAAAAATATACAGGGTTGTATTAAGTCGTTTCAATAGAAATTAAATAAAAATCAATATTTTAGAAATATACAGAGATGTGCTATCTTGGATAAATTGTTCAAACCAAGACGGTAAAGTTTAATAGTAAGTTAACCAACTGGTGAATACACTGTTCGTTAGGTCAAGGGGGGACACCTGTATGTTAAGCAACCCGTTCTACTAGGTTTGAAACAAAGTATATGTGAAATCAACATAGTAAGGTAATCAACTGGCGAATTGGTGCTGTTCGTTACTTCCGTTGGTCATTACCTCTATATACTCGTCGAAATATTTACCCTAAGAGGGTGCAACCTGTGTATATCTAGAATATAATCAAATCAACATCAACACAATAGTTTACAACTGGCAAATTGGCACTGTTCGTTAACTTGGTTGGTCATTAACCTAAATAAAATATATATTGATAGCAAATGAATATGGTCTGCGTTTGAACGGGATTCAAGTGAGATCTCAGTAAATAGTAATAATTTTAATATACTTTGCTAATTATTGCATCATATTTAAAGTATGAAAAATAAAAAGAGTTTAAATATGATTTTGTATGTTTTATTTATCAATGTGCACCAAACTTTGCATCGAATTAATTAACATTATCACAGCGTGATTATATAAATTATCAATTAGTTAACTAGACGATCACTTTTACTACTAGAGGAAAAAGGCCAAATACAGTAAGTAAAATAAACTTGTGAGGTAAATAATAACATATCAGAGAGTAAAACAACGAAAAATAGGGGGTATCGGGGGTGGGCCGTCACAGGTATTACTGGATTGAGCTCTGAATTCTCTTTTGTCGTTTATTAAGTAATTTTTTTCTATTACAAACCCCGAAATGTTAACCAATGATATTTCTGCCCCAGACGTCTCAAAATTTCAATTACTCCTTGACTTGCCTGATTAAAAATAGAAACAGATGTTGTTATGAAAACACTCAGTATTAAAAAATAAGAAAGTAGTTGTGGTTATGTACATTACAAGATGTATATTTAATTTTAGATTTAATAAATGTGGTAATAGTATATTATTTAACGAGCGGTAATGCAGGTCATAACTCACGCAGATGAAGTTTGCAGTACGAGCCGCAGGCGAGTGCTGTAATTCATTAAGTGATAACGGTTTTAATTTTATGGAGGCTTCTAATGCTTTCAAACAAATCGATTGAAGTCGTATTTTAAAGTACTGTTATGTAGACGATACAGACTGGAGGTTTAATGAACCAACCGCTAGTTGATGGGGAGGTTTTTACGAACGGCTTATCCGTATATGAAAGGATTTTTTGCGAAAGACGTTAGGCAAGGCTTTGGAAAATTTGGAAAAATTGCTAACAATTTTGTATGAATGTGAATCCGTTGTCAATAGTAGGCCTTTATTTTATTTTTCCCTTCACACCTTCTATATTCATCAATATTTTACAGGAATTTGGTATTCCAGATGTGGATTATATTGATTCGGAAGAGTTAGACGTGCAAAGTACGTTATTTAAAATCAAAACCTATAGGAGATTAATATTAACTTGAGTGGTATTATCAACTGATGAAAATAATAATAGGTAAAAGAATTTAGAAACATTAGGCTTCTAGCTTTACCTATAATAAACTTAAACTTGTCTATGCAATAATTTCTCTAAATAACTAGTAGAGGTAGGTAAAAATGAGTTAGATACAATCTAATCTTTTATCATACATTAAATATACAATAATAATTTTGATAATTGTATATTAAATATCTGTGAATTTAAACAAATAAGATATGAAAGTTTTTTATGTAATCGTTCTCAAAATATGTACAGTACTGCAAGTCATACAATTGATTAAATAGGAGAGAGTTGAGTAAAATAAATAAGTATCCTTTATTATCTATTTTATTTGTTTATTAGATTTTGAATAAGATTGGCAACACACTCATATTGTCTTAAGGCAAAGATGAAACATTTCATGCATGTTCCAAAAATATCTCTTGATCAGTATATAATATATCTTGGATATATTAGGAATATTCAAAACATGATTAAATAATATTAAACAACCTCTAATTGAAAAGACTTAATATTGGTTGTGTGTCCTACTTTTATAAGTATTTATTAGATTATTTTTCCATGATTTCTAAAAATGGTATAAACATAAAGTCAGTGTAGTGCATTTGAATTTACTACGCAAAGATCTGCGGCTCATTTTCGGCGCCTAAACTTCCGCCTAATGTGCCGGTATCCTAAGAATTTATATTGTATATGCCCATGAATTGTTTTATAATTGTTATTTTATCACTCAATTATTTTTTTTTTGGGTTGGTAGTTGGCAGTTGTGATTTCTTACCTGCAACAGTTTAATAAATACAAACGCGGACAAAATGCACAACGAGAGTGCGAAAATGTAGATTTTTAATATGATTGGTTATTTAGTCAATGACGATAAATTGAGTGTGACTGCAGCAATAAGTCGTGCTTCTAAAATGTAAGTAACAAAGCAATGGCGAATTGATATCTCCTGCTAACGTTAAATGTTATTGATAATATTATTCGAGTGAATGAGAATTCACCATCTTTAAAAACCCTATGTAAATTGATGAAGGTATAATGTTTGAACGAAACGACTTCTTTCATTGGCGACACTGGTATTTAAGATACAATATTGCCAACAACATTGTAGCGATATCTACTTAGATGAAACTTGGATCAACGTGAGACAAACAGTTAACTATGCATAGTGTGATAACAACATATAAATGCTTTTATAAAGTCAAATTCATCAGATTTCAATTTCTAGGAATTTCTAAATATTAATTAATCTATTTTAATGTTAGACACCCTGTATTTAGTTCAGCACTTACTAACTTCCCATGAAAGTCATATTAGATTGGACAGGTATTTTTTTATCGACTGCACTTAGTTAGTCACTTAAACTTTACATGAAATTAAAACACTATTATTAAAAGAATATTTGCTCTACTTTCCCCAATCTTTTTATATCTAGATTACCTCACAAATGGTATATAAATAATGTTTCTGATAATAATCCTTATCTTATAGCTAGAGTGTAAAGGTAAAGCGTATTCTGTTTAGATAATTTTCGAAATTCTATATTATTTTTATATAACAGTAATTTTTTTAGGACCTACAACAATGCCATCCTACAAACTCATTTATTTCGATTTACCAGGTCTAGCTGAACCCATCAGATTGCTTTTTAGTTACGGAAAAGTGCCATTTATAGATCAACGTATAACCAAAGAAGAATGGGTAACATTAAAACCAAGTAAGTATTTAAAATTTAAATAATTGACCACATTTCGGTTGTTATATTATCAATTACTTCTTAAATATCGAAACCAATTTTCTTTCACTTATAAGCCTAATTTTTATATTAACAGTAACTATACTTCTTCCAATATCTTCTTTTATTAACCCAATCTTCTTTCCCTCCCTCTACCTTCATTCCTGGAGTATTTTATATTACCTATATTAAGTTTCTACTAATTTATTTATCATATCATTATTTTCAATTTTCAATCCTGAATAAATGGCTTTACAGCCGAAACCTTTTTTAAATTCCAATAAATTTGTAGGCATGCATGTTTTACACGATTTTGAGTGCTTCATTTTGTTATTATCTCGATAACATTTGATATAATTTTATATTTATAATCTGCTAAATTAAAATGCTTTATTTTTTCCATACTAGCGACACCTTTTGGACACCTCCCTATCTTAGAAATCGATGGAGTACCCTATTCCCACTCTAGAGCTATCTTCAGATATGTAGGCAGTATAGTAGGTTTGATCGGAAAAGATCCCATGGAAAATCTAGCCATTGATTCAGTTTTGGGAGCAATGCTGGATATACGTGAAGGTAATTATTTGAAGTCTCGTCTAACATAATAGCCGAATAATAGATTCAGATACATATATTTATTAAAACAAGTCGTAACTAGTAACCAACGTACCAGAGCGATAGTACAAATATTGTACTATCACTTATTAACAACAACTCAATTCAATACAAAGAAAAAAATAAGAAGAAAAAAGACAGTAAACTAGAGATTGTCATCTCAAAAGACCATAAAGTTATAAAATTATAAAAAAGAATTAGCTAATTAGAGAAAAGTCGAAACATTTACCACCATAGATTAGATTGAATTTAAAAGGAGTTAGACTCTTTTTATATCTATTGTTTAATAAATGTCTTCCCCAATGCCTTAGCAACTCAACAGAAGTGTTCGGGTCCTATCATGGCCTTATCTGAACCTTCTTGGATTAGTTTGTTGGCCTTTGCATTGCTCAGATGTCCTTCATCGCCTGGCATCCAAGCTAAGGTCACTTTGTTTTGACTGCTCAGATCTTCTAAGTAGTTTTTTTATCAGTCAGAATATGATACCCTCACAAGAAGAATATTTCAATGCTTTTTATAGAAATATCACACATTATAATAAACATGTGCTTAATTTGGGGAGAATACTAATAAAAACATCTGAATCTATGTATATTTAGTTTTAAAAACTAAACAATTTTTGATTTAGCAATAGTAAAACTGAGATTCTGTGAAGATGAAGCTAAGAAGCCAGAGCTGAAGAAAGCATTAGAAGAAAGATATCAAAGAACTTATAAAAAACTAGAAGTAGATGCTGGCAAAAATGGCGGATACCTGGCTCTCAACAGGGTAAGTTTTACATTTTCTTATACAGAAAGGGATAAAGAGAAACTAGGGGTAATTTACCTAAAAGTTAACTTTAAAAATATAGTTTTTTTTGCCAATTATTTCATTGAATATGTGTGTTAGTTAATTTTTAAAAATTGTAACATACTTTTATTTTTTTCAGCCGACCTGGACTGACGTCTTGTTTTGTTATAATTATGAATTATTGAGGAACGCATTAGGAATAGATGTTCTAACCCCATATCCCAACTTGCAGAAAGTTAAGAAAACCGTTTTATCTCAGGAAGGAATTAGAGAATATCTTAAAAAGAGAGCACCAAATCCAATGAAACCCAAATATGAATTGCAACAAGACCTTTAATTTTTGTATTTGATATATTTTTATTAAAACATAATTTTAATTGAGTATTTATTAATATCGTTGGCAGTCAAGGCAGTCTGCTTTAAAATTGATCAAGTTTTTTTTTAAAATCAGGATCTTTACTTTCCAAAAAAGTAAATAAAATCTTGATAAACATGCACCTTTCGACAACCAGCGTACTTCGGTATGTAACAGCAATCGTTGGAAGTCTTCATCATTTTCATCGCACAATTGTGCAAATAAACGCGTATTCAATGCATTGCTTCTTATTTTGTTAACTGCATTAATCACAAATTGAAGCGATTGGTGCAATCTATCACTCAAAAGTTTTCGCTACTAGATGTTGTCGGTGGATAACACAGTGAATCGCAATTACCTTTGGTATAATTCTTTTAATAATAATAATAATAATATTTATTCAGAAAGCAGAATCCATATACATAAAATAGTGAAACACAAGAAGTTTTAACAAAAATACAAGGATTATCTACTATACTGAAAAGGAATCGTATTCATCGTAGCCTATCAGAAGACAGACTAAAATGGTTTTCAATACGCCCGGTCAAAATTAATAGTTTAAATATAAACACCCCTTAAATGTAGTACATATATAAATACATAATGGATACACATAAAAAAATGAAAATTGTAATTAATAACAAACAAAGACATCATAAATACCTACCTAGTCTAGTAGACGAAGCTCAATGAAAATTAGTGAACGTTGCTTCAAGCAATAAATATAAAAATATACAAAGATCAATCAAATAATCACAAATTAATATTTATATTTTAACATCGATCAAAAGCTGTCCCCGAAGTAACAAAAATTTCAACTTATTTTTAAAAGTTACATGACTTAATTTTTTAAACTCTATTGGTATAAGATTCAAGATACGGCCTATTAAATATGAAAATGAACTTTTGAACATAGCAGTGGAATGTCGAGGAATGGAGATATCATCCTTTCTGCGAATATTAATATTGTGTACATCGCTCCTGAATCTTATTTTGTTATACAAGTAGGGGGGAGTTTTAAGATTGACAATTTTTCGATAGAGACAACAGGTGTGTAAAAAACGCGCTTCCTGAACAGATAGCCAAGACAATTCAAATCGCTTAGCTGACACTCCTTGCCTTTTTTTTAAATTATACACTAATCTAATAAAAATATTTTGCATGCGTTGAAGACGTTGACTATCATATCGTGTTACACAAGGGCCATATACCGAATCGCAATAATGCATATGTGAAAATACTAGTGATTCGCACAACGTACGTTTAGCTTGATGAGTTAAGATGTATTTATTTGCATATATCATTTTTATGTTAGTCATACATTTTTTTATAATCTGATTTACGTGTTTTACAAACCGTAGATCCGTATCTAAAAATAAGCCCAAGTTTTTTGATATTTCCGAAGTAGGTAAAGTTTCATTATTTACTATAATCTTAAATTGATCCTTATATTGAAGTCGACAGTGCTTTCGACCAAACAGCAGGGTTTTTGATTTAGAAGAATTTATATCAAGGCAGTAGTCATTAGATAATTGAAAAAGTGCCGTTAAATCCCTAGTTATATTTTTAATGTTATTATGAAAATCTTTAGGGGGAAAGGATATATATAACTGTGTATCGTCGGCATAAAAATGTGAGCGGCAATGCTGAAGGCAATCTTGAAATAAACAAGTATAAATACAGAAGAATAGAGGCCCGAGAATAGAACCCTGTGGAACACCGTTTGTTATATTTTTTGGAGAAGATAAACGATTATGTAATTTAACTCTTTGAAACCTATCACTTAGGTAGTTACGTACTAAATTCAAAGCTGTATCGCTAAAACCAATGAAATGCAAGACTCCTAGCAACAGCTGATGATTAATTCTATCAAAGGCTTTACTGTAATCAAGAAGTACTAGAATAGTAAGAAGGTTATTATCACTTGCCGCAATGATATCATCAGTTATTGACAGTAGTGTCGTATTGCAACTATAGTTGCGTCTAAAGCCGGACTGATTTGATGGTATTATTTGATTATCATCTAAATGCCTTTGTATTTGTTCATATAAGACTTTTTCAGATGGCTTATAAACCCACGATATCGCCCGACCATGGCAGGAGCTCCATCTGTTGCCACCGAAATAACGTTTGCGAATGGAATCGATTTTTCTTTAACGAAAATCACTCAAAACATTAAATATTGATTCATCTTTAGTGCCCGTCCTCAAAGTTTTCGCGAATAGTAGCTCTTCATGAATTTCTTCGCCCATAATAAATCGAACATATGCCAATAATAATGCTTCATTGCCAGGTAAAGTTGACTCGTCCAGTTGATTAGAAAAATGAGTTGTTCGTAGATAATCATACAAGAAACTTTCAACATCAGAGCTCATTTCATCAATACGTCTTTGTATAGTGTTGTTACTCAAAGGAATTCTTTTGAGTATGTCAAATGAAGATTTGTGCAGAACAGTTTTTAAAACCTCTTCAACAGCAGGTAAAATTAACTGTTCTCCAATGGTGTGCGGTTTTTCAGATTTTACGATAAGTTATGAGATATTGTAAGATGCCCGCAAGCCATCATCGTTGCTTTCAGACGTTGAAGAGAACATACTGTGCACGGTGGGTCTCTTTTCTAATTTTTCTTTAATGTTTAGAAATATTTCAAATCTTTACCTATTTTATCAGGATGACACCTTCTTAGATGATCTGGTTACGTGAAATACAAGGCGAGGAAAAGGATAAAATACAAGGTGAGTACCTACCTTTTTTATGTTTTATAGAAATTTAACATAGAAAGCGCCCCACGCATGGATCTCAGCGGTCATAGGTAAATGAACTTTCCCGATATAATTTTTCCATTTAAAAAGGCAGTTTGAACATCAATTTCTTCAATATTCTAACCTTTATTACAAGCAACAGATAATAGGACTTTTAAAATATTCATTCTTGCTACTGGTGAATCCAGTCTTACTTCAACGGCTTCTCTACTGGTTTCTTTAGCTTTTAAGATTCTTCGTGGAGATAGTTTCCGAACCCATTCACGAGTATCTGTTAATATACACAAAAGAATGTTTTCGGAATGTATAAAATACGCGTTCCTTTGGATCACCGTATTCACAATAATTTTTAAATCATCTCTTAAATACCGTGACAGTTCAATAGTTTTAAATAAGTACATGCAAACCACCATTAGTGGATTTTAAATTTAGTTTAATATTAAACCATATTGGGGCGGCATACACTTTAATTATGAATTCGGCCATATCCCTAAGGCTTAATGTTGGCTTTTCCGTTCCAGCTTAGAGCCGAAGAACACGATTTGCCATTGTGAGCCATCTAGAGTGCGCCTATTTCTCAGGATTACGGTGTGCTAAATTTGATGAGAAATTACCGCTTGATATTGTATTGCAAAGGTCATATAAATCTGATTGATCAGAACTTAAATCTCTAGACATTACAGTTGTATTTGGCTACTTACATTTTATTGGGGTAAAATTTATAATTTTAAGACGTTCACATTTTTCTAAAGAGCTCCCGATTTCACCAGAATATTGACGCAGTCGCACTGTGCTGCTATCTGAGTAAATAAATGTCTTAATGACAATTCGTTGGCGTGTAGTTGGCAAATATATCATTGTAAAGGGCGTTTTAATTCAGTCTCAATATAATAATAATAATGTTTATTTTTACTTATACATTTTTTTTTTATATAAAATTTGTATTAACATATAACTTCTTGAGTAAAACAAACATGAAGGTGACCCATAAAAACCTAAAAAGGTTGCGCACGGGACTTGGCTCTTGTTCATTTATATCTGAATGTGAATTAGAAGTAACAAAAAAATACAAATGGAATAAAAATGCATAAAATACACAAAAATAGAAAAAATATATAAAATACCGTAAAATACACAAAATAGAATAAAAATACATAAAGTACAAAAGAAAAATTCAATAAACAAAAATAGAAAATGCACTAACATGAAAATTACAAAAATTTTTTTGAATGAATGGTGAGTTAAATTTATTTAACTCGAAAGACTTTATTTATTTGACGTTTACTCTACAACAATCTAAGTTGGAATGAATTTTAATGTATTTTACAAGATAATGATAAATGCAAAGTTAACAGTTTACGCCGTTTATAATGTTATTTATTTATTAATTCCCTATATATAATATTATGACTGCCAATGTCTAGTAAAAACTTTTAAATCATGATTTTTTTATGAATGGGGTAGTGTTATATATATTGTTATTTATTTATTAATTCTCTAATAATATGCCTCACACTATCTAGTAAGAACCTTTTAAATGAATTCTTTATAAATTTTATAGTTAATTTTTTTTATATATGTTTTATAGATATCGGGTAGTAAATTAAATATTCTTGGCGCTAAGAATGTAAAGTTATTTTGTCCTAGTGTTTTTTTTTGACACTATGGTTTTAACAAGTTGCGATGTTTTCTGGCGCGTATTGTAAGTATGATCGATATCCTCTAATATTCTATTTCGATTTGTATACACGTAGATTATAATATACCTAATAACATTATTTTTATTACCGGTGTTAACAACAGTACCATCGCAACCCACAGCCGCCAAATTATATAGTTCCAAATTGTTTTAAGCAAAAAGTCCAATATTGCTTTTCCATTTGACTTTACTGTGCCTGTAGTTGAAGTTACTTGGCCAATATAGAGATAGAAATATGCACATTAATTGAGCTACTAAATTTATTCCATTGCGCACACACTGTATACATTAAATTTTCAAAGTTATATTCCCTTCAAACGCACTGTCGTGCGTATCGCTTAATTTAGTATGTTTTTTGGACAAAAAATTAATAAATCTTAAAAATAATCAACAACCGTTAAGACATTTAGATATTTATTTAAACAAATCAAACTTGTTCATATTATTCACAATTTATATATCACTTTTCAAGTCGTAAGCAGTATTGACGGTGTTGGAGGGTCTTTTCAGGAGATATTCCTGAAGATTTTTATTTTTAAGGAGCTTATTCTTCAGGTTTTCCAGATTGGGGTATTTCTTGAACGGATCTTCACCTGCCAAAAAGTTTTGCAAGTCTTCGTACACACAAAGGAATATCAAATCAGCCCAAGTTATCTGAAAACAATAAAAAAATAAATACTATTTGTTTTGAATATAATTAACGATTCAATAGAACAAGTCACTTCAAAGATAATTAGTCATCTTTGTGAAACATCTTGAACATAAAAAACCTACGTTTACTATAAAAAAGTGTTATCCAATAGTTTCAACAGTTATAATATCAAATGTATTGGAAACTGTAGGTATTTTCATTTTTTGAAACTTATGTATATACTGGTTTTTCATAAATAATTGTTAGTGTTAGTTGGCCCTCAGTTTAATTCACAATTCTGTCTAAAACGAGTGTAAAAAACAGAATTTTTAAAGTTTTACCGTACTATAAAGAATAATAATTATACCCACCCTGTTTAATGCAATGTATCCATTTTTCTTGGTATCCTCGTCAAGTTTTCCTAACAACACGGTCATTTGGCCATGCAGTTTATCCAATATTTGCTTCTTTCTTTCTTCTTCAGGTTCAAATTTGCGTTCATAAGCAGCTAAAAAATCAATGATTTGTTACCGAGCTTATCAATAATTCATAAAAAATATGCAGTATGATGCAAATGAAAGGAATGGAAGCATTATTTTGTTGATTCGTATTTACCTAAATAGCTATATATAGAGGTTGATATTGAAGGTAATGTTAAAAAAATTATATTTGATTTAATTTAATAAATTAATATCTTTTATTTATAAATAAATAAAAAGTATAATTACAATTCATTTAACGTTTTCAATAAATTAATCTCTAACTGCATTCTACCAACAGACTTTTTATAAACATTCTTTGGTCTTTTCTTTTAAAATTTCTAAACATCAACATAACTCACTGACTCTATTTCAAAAACTAGATTTTTTATTAAATTAATTTTATAAAAAATAACGACTCTATGTAGAGCTTTGCTCAAAGCAAATAATTTTACTTTTGTTAATAAAAAAAATCTCAGATCTCTTAGATAAACAGTTCCTCAGATATGGGCAATGTCCTTTCTTATTTAGACACCCGGTAAAGTATATTCATTTCATTTCTATTTGTTGTCAAAGAGACGTATCGATACTTACTTTTAAGTATATCCCAAAGCATTTCAACAGCGGTTTCTATAGCCAAATCTTCTAACATATCTTTGCCATCGAGCTTGAGCACTCGTGCTAAATATCTGCAAAGTGGTGTAGTTTGAGTGTATTTTACTCCATCAATTTCCAGGACTGGAACTTGTCCAATAGGTGTGGCTAGAAAAATATATTTGCTTTAATCAAAAAATGAAATTTATGTAACTAAATTTAATTCTTGAGCAAGTTGTCACAATTTGTTTTGCTCCTTTGATTCTCGATCATGTATTTATCCCCGAGAATAAGAATTAATTATATTTAAACATATTTAAAAATTAATTTAGTTTAGATAATATCATTTTAAAATAATTACATGTAAGAAAATTTCACACAAAATGGCATTTAATAATGCCAGAATTAAGTTTTATTTTAACATTATTGTTTTGTTATATTTTTGCCTGAATATTTCTGATATATAAAAAAAATTGACCTATAAATAAATGATTATATATAACTCTGTTCAAATATGTAAAAGCTTACAAATCAAATAAACACATCGATTATTCAATGACTAGATATGTCGAAAAGTTTCCACTATAATTTTCATCAAAGTACACCAGCAAAAAACATTACGTTGCTATGGTGTCGCTTTTTATTGATTAAAAAGCATAGGTGTAAAATGTTCACGGTAATTGCCTACATGTGTAGGTATATTTTATTCTGTCAATGTGAGTTTGATTTAAAGCATTTATTGAAACCTTCAAAAGGTTTAAATAAATAAATAAATAACAAATTATATAAATAAAATAAGTTTTAAATAAATAACAAATTATATAAATAAAATAAGTTTTAGACAGATATACCCATATACAGGGTGGACCGTATTTAATTTGCGTATACAGAGATCTCGTAAATCGTAACATATACATTGTCGGTTAAATGGGGAAAAAGTTTCGTATTTTGACGGATAATACAATGGTCCATAGAAGTTCCAGATTTTCTAAATGGTTTCGGAGATATTCGATAAAATTCGAAAAACCTCATTTTCGTTTTTTAACCCTGTATACGTTTGCCATGTTTACTCAACTCCAATTATTTAATTCCTCTGCGAGGACACTTAGAAACTTTTGTAAATAGTTATGGTTGGTGAATAAAATGTTTTTATGCAAAAATATTGCTTATATTTTGAAAAAATTTGTAGGAGTAAATACTTATGTAATATAAATGTTATATTTCTACCTTTTTAGATTATTATTTTCTATTTGAATCAAATTTCTAATCCATTAAATATAAATAAAATATATTTATTTTAAATTAAAGTTGTCTTCATTTATTGTTATATGCCATAGCTATAATTATTTAACTTACTTGGTTTTATTTTTGGCCAGTCATCCCATTCAAATCTGTTGTCCTCGAAAGGGATTCCTCCATAAGCCAAAAGCAGCCTAAGTGGTTCTCCTCTTCCGGTAAAATTGAAATATAGCAATTTGTAACTTGGTGCCATTATAAAAATTTAAATTCTTCTCTTATTCTGCTATAAATAAATATAAAAATGTAATGAAATAATAAAATCTCAAAACCAATATCATAAATTTATTGTGGGAACAAATCTTTTTTTAACAAAGTGTTTAAAATTAATAAAATGAATCCATATTAAACTGACGTTAATATAATACAAGGTTTGTAGTATAAAAGGTAAAATAAAGTGGTACTTAAATAATATTAGAAGGTACAATTATTATTATAACTGCATATATAGGCAGATTTCTTTATAGTTTCTATTATAGGAAAGTTGCATTCATATTAATTTTAAATTCCTTCAAATTAACGAAAAATCATCTAGATAATTAAATATTATCTATGATATCTAATAAATAAAACCAATAACTCTGTTTGCGTGTTATCTAATATTACATGTATAAGCCCAATAACTAGATAAGATAATTTTTATCTTATTTATTATTCATTATTGTTGAATTCATTATTCTATAACAAAAAAATGTTGGACACATTTCAGTGTTGATGAAAAATCTTTTCGATTTTCCAAATTTTGAGATATCGCAATATTTATATACCTATACCGTTTTATAGGTCTCTTAAAGACAAATTCAACGCCGTAAACCGCATCTTCCTGTTTCAAACAGATGCCGAGATATTTAACAAAAAATCTGTATTTTTATAAAAAATATTCAAAGGTGGGACCAGCGTTGCCAATAATTTCAGTTACAAACAAGATAAAATACGTAAATGTTATTATTATCAAGATTTAAATATTTAATTGTAGAATTATTAAAAAGAAATATAAGATAACGAAATTTTTTTAAAATCAATTAATATTATTACTTTCCTATCTGTATACAGATATAAGGAAAGTATAGGAATCAAGGTTTTTTTTTGACCTCCGGTTTTCGACGGATTTTTACGTTTTGAGGTTCCCTGAATCCGTTTTGACTATTTTCGGGATGATGTCTGTGTGTGTGTGTGTCAGTCTGTGTGTGTGTGTGTCAGTTTGTGTGTGTGTGTGTGTGTGTCTGTATCCACCATAACTCATGAACCGATACAAAGAAAAACACCAAATTTTAAACTTAAGCTTTATTCCAGCCTGTGGTGAACTGATTAGATTTTGGACAGAGTCGGAACATTTGGGGGGGTACTTTATATAATTTTTGTTCTTTATAAAATTTTCCTAAAATGGTCCGTATTCAAGAAATTTGACAAAATGTGCAAAATTCTGATTTTTAAGTAAATTGTTAAACTAAAAGTTGTTTGCGATATCGATTTCTATAATTTTTGTTTTTACATGATTTTTCTAAAATGGACCGTAATGGAAAAATTGGAGGAAAAGTGCTAAATTTTAATTTTTCAGTATTTTCGTTTTCAATGAGTATCTATAGAAAAATGTTTCGAGTTAGATGTATGTGGAAAATGTATATATTTAGTTTATCCTCTAAACATTTATAGAGGTGAATAACTAGATAGGAAAGTCATGTGTTGGACACATCAGATTTTCATTATTATGATGTATAATTTAATGTGGCAAATTGTCAAAGTAATATTATGTCAACAAACATTTTCAATGAGTTATTTTGTTTTACGTTTCGTGGCAGAGTAAATAATTATAAAAGTTAGGTTAAAGAGTACAGGTTTTTTGTACCAAGGTTTTTTAGTTTTTGAAAAAACCTAAAAGTGAAAATTCTGCAATATTAGGTTTTTTATGTTTTTTTTAAGAACCGGTGTGAACTTAGAGACCAATTTTTAGCGACTAATTTTCTTAAAATTGCCGAATTGTCAGTGGCGTCGTAATTAGTCGCTAGGTTCACACCGGTTTTTTAAGATACTTATTACGAATTTACAATTTTATTAATTAAAAATATTTTTTCACTGTAACTCTATTAATATTATGATTAAAATTAAAACACTTTTTAGTTATTTTTTATTCACAGAATATGATTTTTTTAATACAGTGAGCACCATAAGTCTTACCCCCCCCTATCTAACTCATTACTGGAGTCTTGTTAGGAAAATTGCCGAGACAGGTCGATTTTTGATTTCTACAATGTATATTTTTGTATGATTAGTTTACCCTTAATTTCATCCCTTACTGGAGGGGAGCAACCCTTTCAAAAAATTTAAATGAGATGGGGTGGTGAGTGATAGCTCATTTGAAAGGGGGTTTTATTCTCTATTCAACCGTGCAAAAAAATTTTTAAATTTGCTTTATTACGTGTTGATTTATTAATGTTTAAAAATAACAAAACCTCACAAAATAGGAAATCAACTAAACTAACAGTGACCTTCTAATGGCAAAAAGTATTACTTCACGTCTGAACCAAAACCGAAATCATGCAGGGCCGAATTTTAATTCTAAGGATGAGTGCGCTACGTTAATTTCCGTTATTCTGAAACAACAATTAGTTGAGAATTAATGAAGCAAATTTTAAAATTTTTTACACGGTTGAATAGAGAATAAAACTCTCTTTCAAATGAGCTATCACTCACCACCCCATGCCATTTAAATTTTTCGAAAGGGTTGCTCCCCTCCAGTAAGGGATGAAATTAAGGGTAAACTGTTCATACAAAATTGTACATTGTAGAAAACAAAAATCGACGTGTCTCGGCGATTTTCCTAACAAGACTCCAGTAATGAGTTAGATAGGGGGGGTAAGACTTATGGTGCTCACTGTATAATAAAATTCTATTTTTGTATTTTTTGTTTAAATTTATTAATCATAAAATTTGACATATATGAACAAAAAAAAACCTATAAAATCTCAAAAAACCTACTTATATATTTTTTAATTCTTAGGTTTTTCTATCCCTGTTATAGATTCATCACCGTAACCAACTTGTTAATTATTTTATTTATAATTAATCGTACCTTCTAATATTATCCTAACATCACACTATTTTATATTTTGTACTACAAACTTTGTATATGGATATGGATTCATAATATGAATTTATATTAAAAATTATTTATTTACTTAAAGATAACCCTGTGTGAACCCGAAACTAGTCACGCCTATATTTACACAATAAATTTATGTGGTACCTATTGATGAGTTTAATAAGCTGAACACATTTGAGAAATTGAATTGAATAGACATTAAATCATTTTAAAAGTTATATGAAGATTAAGAAATTATATTATTAACTAAACAACAAAACAGTTAAAGTAAGTTTTACTTTTGTTTTCATTTAGTAAGCGATTAATATAATGTGAACCCACCTTCAATGTTACTTCTAGGCGAACCAAATGTAAACTGAAAGTAAAAAACAGAATGATAAATTATATGTACAAAAACTACCGGGAGCACGCAACCGGTTTAGGACAACCTTGTAAGTCGATTTAGGTATTCTATTTTTATCTGTATATTTAAAATAGTATATGAGCAATATTGTGAACTTCTTCTTAGATGCGCCTATACGCACACGTCATTGATATTCAAATTATTAAGCACATATTTTCTATTATGAATAAATATAGTTTGGTGTACCACAGGGTAATGTACTGGGTCCCATTTTATTCACGCTGTAATAAGCAATATACTACTTCTTGATACGTGTGATGAAATTATTAGTTTCGCGGATGATACTGCTATTTTTAACAAAAACTTCATCGTGGAAAAGTTTCCTATAATTCTGGTTTAACAAATTAAGGGGGCGTCCATTAATTACGTGAGGTGTTCAAGGAGGGAAGGGGATCAAGCTACATCTTTCCAAATGTCACTTGGGGGAGAGGGAGTCTTTGTAAATCTGACGTTATTTTTTTCTAGTAGAAAACGGTGTAAAATTGCGTGAAAGTAAAGAATGTTTCTAGAAATTTTATATTACGGCAATATTCTCAAATACTACCCAGGAAACTACAAATAGTCGGCATTCGTTCGGCCTGATACCGGCATGTACGGGAAGCCGAGTACTCAGATTGCCGTTATCGGAAGCGCCTTACCATTTGACGTAATTTAGAAATAGAAACCGCATATGGTCCATATTTGGCTTTCCAGACATGGGAGGCATCATTACGGGGCGAACGAGTTGAGTATTTGGCTAGTCCGGCATGGGAGGCATCCTTACGGGCCAAACTATATATAGATATATGAACGCGGCTACAATATAGTGGGCTACCGACATTCGGCTGGGCGATCATGCCATGCCTATATGCCGAAGCTGCACCCGTATATCGGGCCGAGTCCAGCATCCGGCAAGCCTCCTTACGGTGCCGATTAACTGTGTTTATTGGGTAGTCGTTGCTAGTCTTAAATAAAAGTAATAGAACATATTGTGTTTTTGTTTTTTTTTTTTAATAATCCAACGCATTTGTTATTGCACTTGTTATTGCTAAATATAGCCAGTGGACCATTTTTGGTTTTAATCCCCATGTTTTTCCAAATGTTCGTCTCCCTACAATGAGAGACATTTTACATTTGTTGGTCACTTTTTGTAAGTGTTGGTTCCAAGTAAGTTTGCTATCTAGGATTAGACCCAGATATTTTACTTGGTTCGTTTTGTTTAGCCTTCCTCCAAACAGAGTCGGAGTTTCTAAAACCTCCAATTTTGTTTTTCGAGAAAAGGTTACGAGTTGTGCCTTGTCAGGGTTTACCAAGAGGTTTTCCCTAACGTACCACATTTCTGTCAGCCTAAGAGCTCTTTGCATGAGTTCAAAGACTGTGGTTTGGTGTTTCCTTCGGATAAGGATGAGTATGTCATCGGCATATCCTTGGGCGAGCGGCAGCTACCATTTATTTAATGGAGGTATTATCAAAAGCTCCTTCTATGTCCAGAAATGCTCCTAGGACTATTTCTTGGCTACTGAGTCCTCCCTCTATCTTGGTTACAAGATGATGCAGAGCAGACTTACAAGATTTTCCTGATTGATAGGCATGTTGGTTTGTATGAAATGGCCTCTCTATCAGAGTGGTTTGCTGGACATGCTGATCAATCAGTTTTTCCAATCCTTTTAATAGAAATGACGTCAGAGTTATTGGTCTATAGGCCTTTGCCACGGCATACGTTGGACGCCCCGGTTTAGGTATGAAGACAACTCTGCTTTGTTTCCAGGTATTTGGTACATGTTTATGCACCAAACTTGCCCTGTAGAGCCTAGAAATATGCGGGGCCAGCGTTTCTATTGCCTGTTGCAAAAGCACTGGCAGTACCCCATCCGGTCCCGGTGATTTGTATGGATTGAAGGTGCGTATTGCACATGTTACTTTCTCTGTTGTAACTACCCGTTTAGCAGTTTCCCACTCTTGGCTGGAGACCCTTTTTTGAGAGTTTCAATTCGAGTGAGTTTGGTTTGCTGCATTCGAGTTTGTTGTGCAATCAGGGATTATTATATATTTTTTAAAAGTGATTCAGTGTAAGGATTATCTTACACTGAATCACTTTAAAATATATAATAATCTGTAAAAATAAAAGAAATTAAATTGTTATTGCTTAAAAAAAATATTCAAAATCTTATTTATTCAATACTGACCGTAGAATTATCCGTAATTTAATGAATCCTTAAAAAATAGAAAACATAAATATACAAAAAAAAAAACAAATACTAATTCATAATGTAATACCATAATAATTCACTTGCACACACTCAAGTTCACCTCAGTAGATTCTTGTATAATTTTTAAATTATCAAACTTTGAGACAAAATTAATTTTTATTACATTATTAAAACAGCAGCAATTCCTATACTTACAGATATGAACTAATTTTTATATTTACCCCCAACAGATAATGCGAACTCATTTCTGAAACTAATCTACAAAAAATATGTTACTTACCCATCAGAAGAACTTTTCGGCACTCGATTTTCTAACACCTATTACCTAATACAAATTATTTTGTTTAAAATCAATACAGCCTGAATTCTCATCGCTACGAGACGCGTTGCAAACATTTTCATGCAGAAATATAATTGGTCACCGATTCTATAAACTATTCAGTGCACCTCCTCAAAGTATAACAAATTCTCAAAGTGTTGTAACCGCCCACCCCCCGGTCACTTCTTAATTATTTAAAAGCACCTATTTATTTACCTCCCTTCCCTTTGTGAAATTCAAAGTAATTCATACTTACTGTATTTGGCCTTTTTCCTCTAGAAATAGTGATCTCGTTGATTAATTAATAATTTGTATACCCACGTTGTGATAATGTTAATTAAGATAAACCAGGATTCGATACAAATTTATGAATGAAATAAAACTCAAATTATATTTAACTTATTACCTTATGTTTCGGCCTCACCTAGGGGGGTTTATGTACATGGGCGTCGTTTGGGGGGGGGGGGGGGGGGGGGGGCAAGGGGGGGCAGTTGCCGACTTAATCAACAACGCGTAAAATTATGCATACGAACAACAATCTCATATAGAAATAATAACATTAAGGCTAATATAGTTGAAGAATATTATAGGTTGAATATATTTATTGAATATCGTCGGTCTAAGATGCAAATGGCCTAACTCCTAAAATATAAATTTTTCAGGAAATGCAAAAAATCTTTTAGACCTAACCTTAATGTAAAGGGGTTATACTAAATGAGTCATGTAATTTTTGGTGCGAATATTTAAAATAGGCTTGACAGGCCATTTCGAATCGACAGTACAGATCTTTAACTAACGGGTAGCCAATAAAACGTATCTTTGGTAAAAAGTGTAGTCAGGCCATTTGCATCTTAGGCCGACGATATCTGGAATCCCTTATTTCGTCACTTACATCACGCTTTTCCGAAGACTGATAATTTTCCTTAAGCCTGCTACATCCCAAAAGCATAAAAACAATACTTTTTTTCATTACCGATTAATGAAAGTAGTGGAAAAATTTGGAATCTACAATTTTGAAGTTGAATACCAAACTGGAGTATGAAAGAGCTTTCTACACACAATGAGCTTTTCATTAATGATATAGCATCCAAATATTGTGAATTTTATCCAGACATAAAAAGTGGTTTAAAAAATATTTATGGCTCTTCCACCAACGACAGAGTTAATCGAAAGAACGTTTAGCACGCTAAGGCATGTTAAAACATGGCTGCGATCTATTCGATCAGTGCGAAGTCATGGTATGGAAAGCAAAAGCGATACTAACGCAAGCTGCGGATAATTCGAGTACTTTAGGGCGATATTTTGTAATTTTGGCGTATCAAATACACGTATACATTTTACTTTTTACTAAAAAATAGGTTAAAAACAATAAAATGAGCAACCGGAGTTACTATGTTGCAAATTTTACTAGCAAAAAAACTGTAAATTATATAAATTTTCAGTAGCAAAATCGAAATTAAATCATAAAAATAAATAGACAGCTGTATAATATGAAGAAAAAAACCTTTGTTTTTGTAATAATAACAGTAATATTGGAAATAATAGACATCAGAAAAGGTTTTAAATAAACAATAAATTATTATTTTATGATATTCTTCAACATTCCTTAAGTCTTAAATGTTAAGCAAATTATTTCTGCCTTTAATTATTGTATATGGCTGAAATGCAATCTTATGACTTATTGATAGGAAACCAGTTTTAATCGTTAATTTCTATGGGATCTTTCGAACTAAAAATGAAGAAAATATAAATTACAATCGCAAATATACCAATTATTTTGGTTAATACGTTTTAAGTCTACGTTATTATATAGTAGTAGTGTTTTTATTTTGACATTATTTAACCTATTCTTCAATGACAACTTATTAGGCTTAGGCAAGATCTCATACATTTTCTCGTAAATATCTACCTATGTTTTATTATTGATTTTTATTAATTATACTACTTTTTTTAGCTGATTTTTTCACTTGTTTTATAAATCCATATACTTTCATTTTGTCTTTTTTTGTTGGATTATTTTATTTATTAAAGACTTGTTATGACAACTTAAGTATCAGTTCTGTCAAATAGGTCAGTGACATTGTTAGGGTTACTACTACAGTTCCACTCCCCCTTAGCTTCGCTATTCAGTGAGATATCGGATTAATTTTATTCTGTTTGAAAGACTTTCTTATGATGGATTCAATTGTTCTGTGACGTCATGGCTTACTTCCGATTTTTCCGAAAATAACAGATTTTTTTTATTTTTAAAATGAAACCCTCTTTTTTATTGCAAATTTAAATTTCTGGGACATTTTTGTATAATAATCGTGTATTGACAATTTTTTGTCAGCTGTAAAAATGGTCGCCATATTGGATAACATTTTTTCTAAATATGTTACTATTAATTCGTTTATGGAAAAACATATAGGAATGTACGAACTTTATAAAATCTTATTAGGCAT